CCTGACGAAGCTTAACAACACGTGACAGCATTCCAATTAATATATCAGTGTTCATACTCCTCTCGTGCGCCTCGTCGAGAATTAGAACAGAGTAACGCTTCAATAGAAAATCATGCTGCACCATAAAATATAACTTGTCTTCAACAGCTATTGCATAGATAAATCATCAGAAAATCATAGCTAATTCACAAACTAGATAAAAGAAGTGGAGACAATATATGACATGAGAGAGAGAGAGAGAGGGCCACTTAACCAAGGACAAGAAATTAGTTCTACTTCCAAACCATAACGTTGATTGCAGAGGAAACCAACTCGCATTTGGAACAAATGGTATTGTCTCATAGAGTATTCACATACAATGGTAAAAACTAAACACTTCACCACGCTACAAAAATGACATTTTATTTTTTAAATCTCCCCCAAATAATAAGAAAATGAGAAATTTCTGCAAGTCGTATTTTTATGTCTACACAAATGTGACAGATAAAGAAGCTTGAGGTGGATTGAAACTAACATGTCAATAAATTGATAAAACCACATTAATTGTAAGCATGACAATAGGAGATTCAATCACATTAAACACTAAAATCAAAATGGAGAAACATATAAGATTATTGCATAAGACGTTATTTAAACTAAAAATACATTGGGAGGGAAAATCACATCTCAAAAGGAATACCTGAACTTCGCGAAGTAAAATTCCATCAGTCATGAACTTGATTGAGCTACTACCTCCAATTTTCTTGTCATATCTTACTTGAAAGCCAACCTCTTTGCCTAGGTGAACACCAAGCTCATATGCAACACGCTTAGCAGTGGCAAGCACAGCAACACGCCGAGGTTGAGTCACCCCAATGGTACCTCTCTGGTGACTAGATTGTAATGAACCAAAGCCAGCTTCATACAGAAACTGTAGATTGTAAGAAAAAGGAAAATTTGTGAAAATGTAAGCTTGCAAGAAAAAATGATAAATTAAAACGCCTCTAAAAGAAGAGTCGGTAAAAGTCAACCATGAATAACAAATATAAAAATAAAAAAAAACCTGAGGAACTTGAGTTGTTTTGCCACAACCAGTCTCTCCACATATAATAACTATGGGGTTCTCATTTATAGCTTCCATAATCTCTTGCTCCATCATGACTATTGGGAGATCTTTTCGTTTGTCTTCAACCTCACATGGCCTCAATACAGGCACCACAATTGGCCTAGACAAAAGCCTCAATTCTGGAAGCGGGTCAGATGTCGTACAAATTTCTACCTTTGGAATTTCGTCCCTCTTATCCTTCAAATCATTTAGATCCATAGTCAGCTCCTAACCAATAACAATCCAATACATATAATTGAACAAGTGAGGTTCTAACTAACTACAAATGACACATAACATACCATTATCTCAGGTCCTTTAAAGTCACCATTCATGCAGGTAGTGCAAGATAAATCTCTTCCACTTTCAAGTACAACCGCACAAATATTTTCAACTTCATCTGGCAAGGCAGAAAGGGATTTTCCTTGATTAGAGACTACGTTACCACTGTCCAGATTTTGAAAGGAATCCAAACCACTTGACACTTCTCTTTTTTCTATGCAAGGGCAATCCTCATCAGCCTCGGCAGAAAGTTGATGCCTCGGAGAAATTTCAAGAGATCCAAGATGACTTTCATGTTGAGATGTGTCAGAGCAAGTTTTCTCCAACTGCTGTTCATTCCTTGGAAACTCTATTCCTACTTTAGAAAATTGTATATTTCTGCTACGTTTTTCCAATCTTGTTTCATCCTATATCCATTATTCACACTGAATAACTTAGCAAAACAGAATCTTCAGGAAATTGAATAAATTATCAAATCAGTTAATGATTCGATGTTACCAACCTGACCAATATTAACAGAAGATCGCAAAAGAAGAAATGCATCATCTGGAATCTTATATTTCCTGTATCATGAGTGATTGAAACAGTGAGAAACATTATTATATTTTACCCATTAAAAAAACTGAAAAATGTTATCAAAGAAATTAGTGGGGAAATACTCTAATGTCTCCAAGCTTTTCGATAGTAAAAGTGATTTTTCCTTCTCCTCCTGCCCAGATAAAGCCAAAATAATTCAGTCAGGTAAAAGAATAGAGAAGGAACCGCTAAACTTGCATATGCTCCTACCTCCAATTTCATCATCTTTTTTTTCTGCGACTTGCTCAACTTTGGTTTTTTATTTATCTGAGTGCCTTTACATCCCTGTACATGAAAAGTTTTGATCTCAAAATTTAATAAAATATATGAAAATGGCAACATTGTCACATTACCTTATTCATGTTTTTTCTCTTCTTATCGCTCTTTTTACTCCCATACAAGATGACTTGATTGCTACCACCACCATCCATACTACCAAATATAACGAAAATAAAGGCTTTTTAAGTAAACTATAGATAGAAACCCATAATCAAAATTCAAATAATGTTAAAAAAAAAAGTTTTTCTTCCTATAAAAATTAGTAACAAAGAAATTTCTTATACCTCCATGAACCTTTCCCACAATCTAGCTGATCATTGACAAGGTCTTCCATTTAGTACACTGCACAAAAATGACCAAACTTCAATGATGAATATAAGGTTAAAGGAAAGATCATGGCCAAAGAAATCATGTTAACATAAGAACCTTACAAAAAGTAGATACTGGAATTGACAATAACAACAGTGATAAATAAAGTAAAGAGAGCAAGCATATAAACTAAAGTAACTAGAATTTCTATTTGTGGTTTCTTGAGGTTGGGGGAGTTTCTCTAGAAATGGAGTCGTGCATTTCCTTGAGCCCCTCATTCATAATCATGTTGTGCCCACATCATGTGTAGTAATTCTCCATCTAAGACAAGTTTTAAGTCTTTTCATAATATACAATACAGCCACATCAGTGGAACTTGCATTATCAATTATGTGACTATTATGTAGTTAATGTTTTGCAATGAAGCCTACGTGTCAGTTGTAAGACAAACCCTCTTGGAATTACTAACTAAAAAAGATTTTAACTTCTTTTTCTATTCAAAATAAAGTTGAAATATGTCTCTAGCAATGGTTACTCTTGATGAATGGTCAAATCTATGACATGTAGTACTGCAAAACAATCTAAAACTCTCCTTCTCTACGAATTTGAATAGCAACTCATCAATAATTATCATCTTAGCATATGTTGCTCTACATGTTGTTTGACTAAATAATGAAGTTTCAAAATTACTACCACACTTCCCATCTAATGAAGATTTAAAGCTTAAAGTGGTTAGTCATTTGTCTTCCATCTTATATGGGTACTTTCTACACTAATTTTTTAAGTGTTTTTAACGTGCTAGTTCCACCAGAAGTAGCATCACAAGCATACTCTTTATCACAATAATTACACTTGCACCTCTTCTTGTTATTCTCTAATCTAGTGAAATGATCCATAATGTAGAGGTTGATTAGGTTGATTTATTAGGTCTCTTCTTCCAAGATTCAAATTGTATAGGCAATGGTGGCTTAGTTGCATTACAATTACTAGAACCAGAAGGAGTTTCAGATTTACATGCACTTGCACTATTGCTTTCCATTTATAAAAAGTAAAATGAAACTAAACTCAAACAAAGAAAATAATCTCCAACTCCAAATGATCCATACAAACCCAAAAAAGTTATTTCTGGAAAGAAGGATTCAAAAGAGATGTATTTTCTGCAAGTTAGAGGTTTGGATACAGGTCTGATGCAAGTTTGTGCAGTATTCCCTATGCTTGGAGGAATACAGTAAATGTGGCCTGTAATTCCCACCTACCCAATCAAATTTTTACTCCAAACAAAATAGGAACAAGAAATCTTCTCATGCATCTCATTCTATACATCGAACCAATTGAATGAATTTCAAAGGTGTTTATTTAACTGTATTTGAGATTTCCCCAGCCCCATGCCATGCAGTAAACCCAAGTTGAGCAATTTAAACGTGCAGAGAGAGAGAGACACATACACACACCTGAAAGCTGCAATTATACAAGTCTTTTAGTGAAGTTGGAGGTAAGCGCGAGACGGAAGGAACTTCAGATAGGTCAATCGTGCAATTATACACGTCTTTCAGTCTATCGTGCGGCGAGGTAAGACTGAATTGATGAACAGTCTTTTAAGAGTTGAAGCAATTGAAACGACGAACCAGTTCAGAGCCCTAAATTCGGTGATTCAATTCGTCGACGATGCGAATGCTCTTGCGGTTGATGTTGGTGATCCTCTGTTGGAACCTTGGCAACTCAACCTGCAAATGCAGCCGTTGGCGGCGGATTACGAAAAACTAGCTTTCCCCGGCATCACTGGATTTTGTAAACCCTTCCAAACACCTGATTTTTTTTTTTTTTTTTTTTTATAAATAAATTTAATTAATTAATGGTTCTTAATTTACAAAAATTATTATAATTAATTACTTAATTGTAATAAATCACTAGTGATTCATTTTAATATATATTAAATTTATTTTGACACAATTAGTTCTATTTACTAAAATTATTAGTTAATTATTTAACTCCTAATTGCAATTATTAGTTATTTACGTTTAATTAGCTTATAAAAATTTGATCTTTAATAATTATAATTAATTAATAATCTATTATACTCTATTAATTATTTTTTGGACTAATTTTTAGTTTGTTCCTTCCTTATTTATTAATAATAATTTTTTATAACAAATTACTAAGTGATAATCTTAGATAATACAGTCGTATAAGTACATTATTTGATAAAATAATAATTCTTGGATCACGCTGAAACTTGACTCTTTGATTAAAGATGTTATTTAAGAAAAGTGATGTGAATGATCAACATGAATTATCAGTCCCGAGCCCTGAGCATTAAGTCCCGAGCCTCGAGCATTTTTGGGTGATGAAGCACGATCCCCATTACTGATGGACAAATCCCTTTGAAAATGAAACTCTTTTATCACAGAATCGTGACCGTATATGTGAAACATCACGATCTAAAAATTTAATAATTTAATGGGTATATTTCACGAGCATTAATCGATTTATTAATCTAAAAAAGCTTTAATATATTATAACAATATAGACTAAATGGTTGTAATTAGACTAAATTAAATTAGGGCTTTTTTGGATGCCAATTTCGGGTCAAATAAAAAGCGCGAAAGCATCAAATCTCTGCAACTCGGCTTCTTTTTCTAGCATTAAGAGGACGAGATTGAAATTCCCAGCCGAGCTGTTCATCGGCTACCATCATCTCCATTAACGATCCTCTTAGATCCTCCAAACTGTTCTTCTTCTTCTTCCCCTGCTATTTTCCAAATTGCCGATTCAATATAACTTGTTGCAAAATCGATCTCTAAACTCGTTGATCTTTTACCTGCGGTGTGGCGTTCTTCATCATCGAAACCATTTCGTTCATGAAATCGCAGAATCCCTGTTCATCGAAGAAATATTAACGCATCAGTTTTCGAGATTATTTGACGCGGAAATGTTTTTGTATGGATCGGCCTGGAAACAGAGTGGCTTACTTCGTCATCATCGTCTGTAAGAAATGAAATCAATCCGGCGTCGTATATGCTTCTTTTCCCCTTGTTTGATAGAACTGGAAGAACAGTGTAATCAGGGATTTTTTTCTGTTAAAATCGATCATAGATTGAAAAAACTGGAAAGTTGAGGTATGAAATGAGATTTGTTCTATATTATTTATATGAATGTTTTTGTGTGATTTTAACCTGAATAAGCCTCTTGGATTTGCTGAAACCGCCGTTTAGATTCAGCGGCCATTTTTGGGTCTTTCATCCACTTATCGGGATGCCATTTCTACAGAGAGGGAAATTACAGAATCCGTTAAAAGAAAACCAGAGATTATTACCAAATGGAAAAGCCCTCTCTGTAAAACGTACCATGGCTTGCTTACGGTAAGCTCCTCGGATTTCATCGCCAGAAGCTTGCTTACACAGTCCAAGTACAGAATAGTAACAGCACTCACCACCGGAATTTTCCCCGGCACCGGACATTTTCGCCGGCAAACAGCAGAAAACGACTGGAAGATGATGAAGAAGATGGTGATGGGGGTTGTGGAATATCTGTTCAGGACAAGGGGCTTTGCATGGATGTAACGTGGTTTAAAACAAAGATTAAGGAAGAAGGCGAAGAAGGTTCGAGATGGATTGTTGGTGAATGTGAGCCAGATGATTTGATTGTGGTTGGAATTGGGTTTGGACTCGAAAAAGTTCAAAAAGCTGAAGTCGTTTGGTTGGATGATTATGGCCACATAATTCATTTACTTTTATATTGTCAAATTTCCCAATGCATATTTATTATCTGCACAAGAACTATAATATTTATCTCACTTTAGGGGTTAGGGGACAGGAGAAATCCTCTTTCTCTCCCTCGAATTTTTCGTGAATTCCTCGTTTTATCTTGTTTGGAATGTCCTCACAATAACACACCTTCTTTACTCCCTTTCGAATTCCTCGTATTGTCTTGTTTGGAGTAGTCCTTACGACAATGCACCTTCTCTACTCCCTCCCGAAATCTTCTTATTGTCTTGTTTGGAGCCGTCCTCACGATAATACACCTTCTCTGCTCTGTCTTGAATTCCTCTTCTTGTATTGTTTGTAGCCGTCCTCACGATAATACACCTTTACTCCCTCTTGAGTTCCTTGTCTTGCACTCCTCACGATAACACACGTTCTCTGCTTCTGCCCGAATTACTCGTCTTGTATTGTTTGGAGGCAGTCCTCACAATAACACATCTTCTTTACTCCCTTTCAAATTCCTCATATTGTCTTGTTTGAAGTAGTCCTCACAACAACACACCTTCTCTACTCTCTTCCGAAATCTTCTTATTGTCTTGTTTGTAGCAGTCTTCATGATAGTACACTTTCTCTACTCCGTCTCGAATGAATTCCTCGTCTTGTATTGTTTGTAGCCGTCCTATTCCCTCCCGAATTCCTCATCTTGCACTCCTCATGATAACATACCTTCTCTAGTCTTCACGATAACACAAACATCTTTTATATAAGTAGTTATAGATTGCTTTTGACCCACAAAGCCATTCAAAACATATTAATGTAAAACCAAAGTTTATTAGTCAAATCTAGTTTTCCCAGTTAAATTGGTTGCATATTCAAGCTTTACAAGATGCCACAAGATGCCATAAAAATCTGTTTAGGATATGTGAATCTCACAAGATACTAAAACTATGAAGAACTCATTTCAGCATGCCTCGAGTCAAACAATTTCCAAAGGCATAGATGGTATATCCAATCAAAATAACTAGGAAACAAAAAATGTATCACACTATCGTCATTTTCATCGTCCTCGACATCACATTTTAATGGAAAAAAATGACCTAACTACCTCGCAACCGAAAGGACACTTGACGACATTGAAGCTTTACTGAGGCAAGACTGTGTTGAGTTGCTACAAACTACTGGGGGGCAATTAGTGTACCCAATGAATTGTGTTGATTAGTTTGTGCAATGTTGAGTGAACGTTACTCGTCTTCATAACGTGTGTGGATGTGGATCAGGAGGAAATAAGTTGACAAGAAAGCGGTGAATCATTTCAAAGCTGGTAAATGTGATGGCAGCAGCCGGGGTCGTCCTGATAAGGTTGGTTGCGCACCCTCGATAGAAGCCGGGGAGTCCATCTTGCTGAAATACTTTCTTTACGCAATCGGTTACACCAGAATAACGCTTCTCAGAGTGAAACCCTTGTTCCTGAAGCCTGGAACGTACAACCTGCAAGAGGAGAGTGCAATGTCATATGATTTTTCTGGACAGACAATTGGATCGTGGATGTAAAATGTGAGTCGAACTTGGTTGAGTTTACATCAAAGAAACTGAAATGCTTTGAGTTACCAAATCCTAAGTAACGACCTTCTTTTAGAAGGTCAAGGTTTTGATATGAACAATGAACATAAGACATAAAACAGGACTTCGTTCAGATACATGAAAGTTGAGATTATAATATATACACCAATATAAATGATTCACAGTGCATTTGAAGGTAAAAATTATATGCACCCGATTAGGATCCTACCTCATGTGGATAAGTCAATGTGGAAGCAAATATCTTGGAGACAGATGAGGCTACTGCGACATCACGTGCGCTGAGTTTGTCTGTCGTCGTATTGTCTGTGATACTATAATAAGTTAATACGAGCTTTTTCGTAATGGGTTTATGGGGAAGACATGAGATAGGTTATTAAACAGTTACCTCTTCTAGCCAAATAACTTTTTATTTTTTCGTATGTTGGAAACTGTATGGCAACGTGACTTACACCGGCCAAAGCAGGAACAAGACCACTGTAGAACATGGTATCGAGTGTTAGAGTCGAGCCAAGAATCCTTATAATCCACGAACTTCTCCATATAAAATACATAGAACAGAATAGCAACATGATAAGAAAGAGCAAACCTGTACAATCCACGAATGCCTTCTTCAGAGGCTATTCTCCTCAAGGCAGACACTGTATTTCTATATGGTAGCACACCAGATTTCATTCCCTGCGTCTAAAGAATATAAGACAAAACGTTTCGATTAGTCCATGTCTATGGTCATAAGGTTCACATGTCACATTTTAAGGCAAGATAGCAGTTGGAGAGATTTAATAATTTTTCTTGGCTAAGTGCAAACTGGAAAATCAACATCATTGCATAAAACTGAAGAAGGTTCCATGGCTATCAATCCACAAAGATGGATCCCATGCCACAATAGAGGAGACCTCAGTCATCACTTCGATCTTAGTGTTTCACCCTCGAAGTCTTTCGGTCCATGAAGATAAATTCATGGTAATAATTCGAAGGAACGGAAGTTAAGCATTTCCTAGATTGGTTCGGAAATACTCCTTTCAAGCCTTTGGATGTCTTTTTGTTCTTCCAAAATGCAACAAATGCTCCCTCAGGCCACATATTCATGAAGCAAGGGTTGAACTCTCATGATGGGTTTCATTTTTTTGAGTATGATACCGTCCCTTGTTAGAAGACAGGCTTGGGATCGGGGAAATTAGCACGATCTGAGTACACTCTCTTTCAGGTTTTCTCTATGGGCTAAGGGTCTAATAAAATCAGTGTCCAGGAGTTCGGATTAAAGTTCCAGATGTATCCTCCCATAGATGAGAATATAAAGTTAATAAAGAACGCGAGATTTCCTCAAAGAAACGAAAAAAACGAACGCGAGCTTGCAACCCTCACCTGAAGCCTGGTCTTAACAACCCATAGAGGATTCGTTGCAATAGTTGTAGCAGCTCCAGCTCCAGAAGCAGCCATCATATTAGCACCTATTGAAAGCTGATGATTTTCAACTGCACATATACCATGAGAACATCAATGAAAAATAAAGTTCTTAACGGGAAGGAAAAAAAGTAGAAGAAAACGACGAATAAAAGGACAATAAAACTAACCATCCGAACGAAGAAAGCTTTTGAGCTGCCCATAGATTGTGAAATAGACCTGCCATAGGCAGATATTGTGTCATACAAAAGAAAAATAGCTACATTATTCTTAAGCAAATACAAAAAACCATGTTATTACAATCAAAACACTGAGGTAGTGCTTGTGTCAAGGTTCTACACTAAGGAAGTTATGCAAGCACAGTAGATAATATTAGGTGGCTAACATTGTTTTACAGCCCCAACTTTATGAGATTCATGTACACAAACTTTATGGGATATAAACATGACTCGCGACTTACAGCCCAGTTAGGAAGCAACGCAAGCACGGTCGGTGCGAGTCCTCTATACATTCCACGTAGCCCCTCCTTATGAAAAATTTGCTGCAGACTACCAACTATAAGACTCCCTGAATAGATAGAACAGAACAAAATCATCAGGAAAACATCATAAATAGCACTTCATTGTGATACAAACCCTCCAATCAACCCACAATAGCTAAGATAATAATGCAACTCACATTTGCAATGTTCATAGATATGGGCAAATAGAAGCAAAACATAGTGTAGCCCAATTGTTGCGATCAGTAAACAAAAAGAAACGCCATACCTTTCCCGATGTTTGGCAGTCCATGAACCTGAAATCTGGTCTTGATAACATCCAAAGGGCACACAAACGTAGCAGCAAGAACTCCTATAACGTAATTCAAGAATAGAGTTCAAGTTCTCAAGCTAATCGAGAGACAGAAATCAAATGCCTAACCCACCCCTCCCTTTTGAATCATACAAACAAGCGCAACAAACAGATACACATCTCAAGCAACTAAATCTTTCAGCTTCATATGCCACAAATTTACACCGAAAGGAACACGGTGCGATGCTTTTGATTATCATCCAATCGACAAGAAAATGGATCCGCAAACGGAGATTAAAGAGATGCAATTACCAGCAGCAGCACCAGCTCCCGCATTACAGAGAAGACCTCTCGGAGTAGGGGCATGAGAATTGGTAGCCATGGCAGTGTTCAATCAAATAGCCAGAAAAATAAATAATGATTTGAGCGCAAGAATCACCAAAAGAACCCTCTTTCGAGAGGCAGATCTTGGAAAACCAGAGTCGCATGGCCAGAACAAGGAGAGAGGAAAGTCAAGCCGATTGGTGCCGAGGCTATTCTATTCGATTAGGAGGGCAGCAATCGGAAACAGAGAAGAAATAGGAATCGGTTGAGACATGGGAAAGTTGAATCGTACACGAAACTGAGGGATATTCATATGTGGATCAGAAATCGCGAGGAAAAACTGAAAAATAAAATTTATGGGCCCTTTGGTTTCTTCGTCGTCGTCATCACCGTGGTGCCGAAAAAGCCTCGCCCGGTTGCGGCCCGACGAGACGATTCGCCGCAAATGGATCAATGTGATGCTAGCAAATTCAATTCCATTTTGATTTCGTTTGCTTTTGCTTCGTAAGCCGCCCACTCCACAACCACTCCTTTTAAATTACAATTTATTTAAGGGTTAAATTATTAGTTTAGATGGTGTAATCTCAATTTGTATTTAATATGTTCTTAATTTAAAAATATGGCACGCTTCACCAAAATTTATTTTTTGACGTGATTTTAAATCTATAACTCATTATTTTTTAATAAATTATTTAAGAAGACGATCGAGAACATGTTACATTTAATATTATTTGGGTCCAGACTGAACAAAAAATGAGACTCATAATGACAAAATTAAACCCCTGGGACTAGGGCGAGATGAGCCACAAACCAAAGTACATGTGGGCCCACCTTAGTCGAGATCGAGGTGGGCCTTCTTGGCTCAAGGGTGTTTAATACATATACCCATGACCTGATATTAAGTTGAGGAAAAACAGATACACGAATTGATCTAAATTTGAAAACAAAGAGGAGAAGCCCTAAGTCATTCTATGACCTATAAACATATTACGACTAGAATGAGTAAGTCCACTCTAATGCTAAAAACGATTGTGACATCTTACCTCATTCAATTAAATCAGGCATCAGAAGTAATAACAAGTATCACATCAACATTTCGATTGTTACATTTTGCAGGTCACGTGCATGAATGCTTAATCCACATCTAACCATTAATAATAGGATCGACCAATTTGGAGGGATTCTCTCTCTTTTTTCTTTTTTTGTAATGTGTAGTATGAAGATATAAACCTCCGATGAAAGTTCAATGATGGTTGGCATTAGATGCTTGTTTGGTTGAATTTTGATACTACCTTTTCTATGCAGGCTTACTCATCTTGACTGCCAATTTACTAACTTTTTATTGAAGAACACCACGAAGCTAACTATACTTCCATAAACAGGAAAACAACTTGGATCATGCTTACCCTTTCTAACTATCTTTTACTAATTCACAAAGGGTAATATGATCATTGGAATAAAAACACTACAATTTTGATACAACTTCCCTCTTCTGTATTCGTGCTCAATATTATAAATCGTCGCCTAAGATGACAGAGAGAACTAACCCCTGTACGAAGTCGCATCTCCGAGTCTTCTCTTCTTGCTTCGTGTCGGGTAAGGAAGATAAATGAACGTCCCTGCACATGCACATACTTAATCTTATTAGGTTGGAGGTACTGAATTATGGGATATGGGTACCTCCATTACAGAAGTTAGACTTGCTAGGATTGCTAAGACAGTGGGGGAAAGCAAAAATAACTCGACCAACATGAGAAGTGCAGAGAAATTTTAGGCCATTTGGTAAATGGATCCAAATGCAAAGGCATGAGATTGATCGACCACAGTATGATCCTGGAAGGAAAATGAAAAATGAAATAGAACTTCACAGTAGCCCCTAGCTATGCATTTAGATAGAGAATGATCTCATCTGACATTCACCTCCCAGAATAAAAGACTACAGTTTTGTCCAAAAAAACGCCCCGACATGAAAAACATTGAGACATAGATACTATTTGTAACAGTCCAAGCCCATCACTAGCAAACATTGTCCGCTTCGATTCGTTACGTCTCGCCATTAGCCTTACGATTTTTAAAACGCGTATGCTAGGGAGAGGTTTCCACACCCTTATAAAGAATGTTTCGTTCTCCTCTCCAACCGATGTGGGATCTCACAATCCACCCCCCTTCGGGGCCCAACGTCCTTGTCGACACTTGTTCCCCTCTCCAATCGACGTGGGATCTCACAATCCACCCCCTTCGGGGCACAACGTCCTCGCTGGCACACCGCTCAGTGCTTAGCTCTAATACCATTTGTAACAGCCCAAACCCACCGTTAGCAGATCTTGTCCGCTTTGGCCTGTTACGTATCGTCATCAGCCTCGCAATTTTTAAAAAATGTTTTCACACCTTTATAAAAAATGTTTTGTTCCCTTATTCAACCGATATAAGATCTCACGCTATTATGCTACAAATATCAAACTTCTACGTTGTATTATAACCCAACTAAATATAATCCTAGGCACTATCATTATAATCGTCCAAAAACACGTTGTTCTTAGAAGGATCTTTGATGGACTTTAAATCCTACATATCAATGAATTTTATTTATGCTATATTCCAGTGATGCAAGTACCATTCAGGGCCTCATCAAATTTTCCGCGCATTGTAGAAAAGATATAAGCTATGTACCACCAATGAATTCATATTGTGAGACATTTATAATAGCTGTAAACATATCGTCACGCACAGTTGCTCGGGACAGAAACTCAAGGTTATCTAAGCTCATAGGAAGAAGCAAAACATATCTGATATCTCCAAGAATAAATTTTAAATACCAAACCAGAATGCATGCCAAAGAATCAGTAAAAAACATAACTATGGTGAAACAGATGCAATGCAAAAAGTGCATAATTTTCGAGTCATAACTAGGCAACTAGAAGTATATTTCTGTCTTACCTTTCGAATAATGTATCGTCTGCATCACTTTCCTTCAATTTTTCTTTACTTGAAGGCATGGGCTGAACAGTTTTGGACTCATTAGCGACAGGTGCATTGCATAAAAATGATAATAATGGATCAGGTGCCATCTTGGAGGTCAAGTGCAGAGACGAAAACCCCGAAAGAATTCTTACACGATCATCTTGTAACTCTTTTCTCTCAAAAGAAAGACTTTGAGGAAAATCGTCTTTATGGAATTTCAATCTTTGTTGACTGTAACCATATGTTAAGGAATTGAGTTCATAGATTCAAGTATGCCTTGGATATAAGCAAGAAACAGAACAAAATACTCCGGGAAGAACAGTTGAAAGATTTACGAAATTGGGCACAACAATATTTAAAGAATGAAAGAAAAGGATATATTAAATATATCTCCATGCTGCATCATTATATGTCCAACCATATTCTCTCCCACGCTTGAAGAGCAAATAGGGCATATCTGAAAAGAAATGAAAACCAACCTCTTGAAAAAGCAAAAACAAGACAAAAACTAACTTCAAGTAGATACCAATAGAGAATCTTTACTTCCAAAAGAGGATACATAAAGATAACAAAAGCATAATGCACAAAAAAAAAAAAAAAAAAAAAAAAAAAAAAAAAAAAAAAAAAAAAAAAAAAAAAAAAAAAAAAAAAAAAAAGAAAGAAAGAAAGAAAGAAAAGAGGATAACAAAAGCTAGCAGAAAATCTAGTCCCCAAAATGATTTATGCACTTCCGTCACTGGTGCTAACATAATGTAACGGCCTAAGCTCACCGCTAGTAGATATTGTCCTCTTTGGGCTTTCCTTTTCAGATTTCCCTTCAAAAATTTTAAAATGCATCTACTAGGAAGAGGTTTCCACATCCTTATGAAGAATGCTTTGTTTCCCTCTCCAACCGACGTGGGATCTCACACATAATAACCATAGACAAACATTCTTGACCTGAGGCAAGACAAGCACGCAAGTACGATTTTCAACCGAGTGTACTCGGGTTTGAAAAAAATAAGCAAAATACCACGAAGTATCCAAGCTAAAGGCAACCATAGCAATATAATTTTCCAGGTCAAGCCCAATAGAATAATACTTGAAGCAACAGTCTTGTTGAAAATTATTGAAAGGAGTAGTCCCACATTGGCTAATTAAGAGGAAAGATCGTGAGTTTATAAGTAAGGAATAATGTCTCCATTGAAATGAGACCTTTTGGAAACTAAAAGCAAACCCATAGAGCTTATACCCAAAGTCGACAATATCATATACCATTGTAGAGGTTCGTGATTCCTAACACTTCTCATATTAAGTGGGTCACAATATACTTGAAAGATGATGATAAATTCTATAAACAGTGAATAAGAGGATCGATCAGAAAAGGACTTCTCATTCAAGAAACGAGCTTCCAACAGTCTACTGTTTTGGGAGTTGTTACCAAGTAAGGTTACTCCACTGGAACGACGCTAAACAAACAGACACGCTAAAATTTGCCTCAACCATGGAGTGATCGAAGAGACAATACGTATATCAATGGAAATATTCTCTAATCTCCTACTGAAACTGCCGAATAAAGCCGTTTTAAACTTAAAAAGCTTTTAACCAAAGACAAATTAGCGATTTCCTTACCCCAAAGTTGGCTTCTAAAGGATGCTCGTCATCAATATGGCAGCATAGCTCAACCAAATCAAATTCCTCCGAACAAAACGGGCAAGAATATTCCGAATTCAAATCATCATCATCCTCATCCACCTCCTCGTAATCAAAATCAAAATCTAGAAAACCAAACAGAAATCGTTTAAACAAAAACTCACAAGCAAAACTCCCAAAAAAAAAAAAAAAAAAAAAAAAAAAAAAACTAAACAACGAATCATCAGTAGATTAAGATCGAGACATGACTCACGCGACTGCGATTTAGAGCCCCTCGAAGAAACAGCAGCAGCAGAGAGACCATATCTATAAGCTTCACTTTCCATTCTCAGATTAAACAACACAAAACAAAACCCAGCGCGTATTCAATTCAGGGGGGCGAATCCGTTCGAAACTTCGATGAATTATTCAGCGCCCCTTCGCGGAAAGCTCTTAAGCGGCACTACGTTGGTCGGTTTCGAAGAAATGAAGAAGAAATTAAACGGGGAAGAAAAATTAGCTCGTGATTTAGGAGTTTCGATTTCTGACTCTTAGATGACCAACGAAGAACTCCCGCGTTTTATCGTAGAACTACTCTCTCAACAACCAGGGACCGACGGTTCTGGATTAGGACTTTTATTCCCGTTTTACCCTCGGAGGTTCTTAAAATTACTAGAAATATTACTAGAAATTTCCCACGTGTTAAAATATCCATATTTAAAAGTATTTTTTTTTTAAATTAAAAATAAACCAAGGTAAAAAAAGATCGAAGGGCCATAAGCCCAATATGAGAGCCCATTCAGGATCCAATCAAGGTCCGCCTGAATCCTGATCTGTTTACTTCCGGCGAAGGTTAACGTGTAAAACCTCCGCGAAATTTCTTCATTCCGGGGGGAGTTGTTCAATGTTCGATTCGAACATTGAATTCTTCAATTCATTTCATTTTAACGCAGGAACTGACTCGAGTTTTTCGATTCTGATCATTCTTGAACTCTCTACTCACTGATTTCTTGTTTTTTTTTTTTTTTTTTTTTTTCTCTTCGGCTGTTGTCTTCTATGGCGACGAGGAATCGAACTGCACAGTTTAGAAGGTACAGGGACGCCGTGAAGAGCGTCCGTGCGCCTTTATCTTCCTCGGCAGCTGGTTCGAGCGGACCGGTTATTGAGATGGTGAGTTCGTCTCTTCTTCGCTCAAAGCGCTCTTCAGATTACGCTCCTCTTAGCACAGAAGATCCAGGACCTTCGAGGTATAGAGTCTTTTTTTTTGTTCTAGCTTTTCTTCCAAAGTTCTTTTGCATTTTTCTTTTATTAAATTTGGTCTAGTAAGTGCATAAATTGCTTGTGCTGAATTATTTTCTTAGCGATGTGGAGTATCTGGATGGAAAATTGAACTTCTACTCTGACATTCAATTAAAAGATTTTTCTTATTTGCGTCAGTGAAGTTTTTTTGCATCAAACGTGTATTTGTGACTTCCTTTTTCTAGAGTAGTTCTGGTGAAATTTTGAAGAGCAGATAAGAAGACATCACCAACGCATTCTTGCCACCCCGCCCCCCATACCTACTTGGAGTTGAAGAATTGTAATTCTTCGAACTGCTTGACATAATCATACCTCAGCAGGAAATGACAATAGAGTTTTCTTGACAATATTTCATTAATTGACTGGGAATTTGGGAAGGAAACGCTCACTGAGTGAATGGTCTCAAGACTCGGATAGTGAAGGTTAATGAATTAAATTTACCAAAATGTCCGGTACTGTGCATTGAAGGCACACATTTCAAATGGTTGATGATCATAGGGAGGTTTAACTTTTGACTTACAATTGATCTGCTTAGAATTTGAAGGTTTCTGTCTGAGTAATTTAGCAAAATATTAACTCAAACTCTCCTGACTGTAATATTGTATCTGAGGTGCAGCAGTGATGCATTGATGGTGGGTCTGCCTCCAGCTTGGGTGGATGATTCTGAAGAAATAACTGTTAATATACACCAAATTCGTAGGAAGATGGCAGAGTTAGTCAAAGCTCATTCTAAAGCTTTAATGCCTTCTTTTGCTGATGGCAAAGAAGATCAGAATACGATTGAGGCGCTTACGCAAGAAATTACCAATCTTTTGAAAGCCTCTGAGAAGAGGTTGAAGAGAATTTCTTGTACTGGGTCTTCAGAGGATATTAGCATCAGAAAAAATGTACAGGTATGCTTGATTCTCACTAATTCTTTTGCTTAATACTATGAATGATCCGACTTTGTATCTGAGTCATAGTTGGTCTTTTAGTAATTGCTTTCTGTTATTACGTTTTTTCTATCTGTTGTTCTTTGTCGTTGGACCTTTTTTGTGCCACCGGGAAACTAATGTATGAAGTTCCTATAGACTTTTCACCTCCCTGAGAGTGTTTCTTGATTCTGGTTTTCAGGGTCTTTTAACAATTTGTTCCTTTTTGTGATGGATTGACTCCTTTTCTTAACAGCGTTCTCTTGCTACAGAGCTTCAGAATCTTTCAATGGATCTTCGTAGAAGACAGTCAATGTATCTGAAACATCTGCAGCAGCAAAAGGAGGTTTGTGCCCTGTGTTCAAACGGACCTATGAAAACTTTCTGAAAAAAAAAAAAGATTTCATCTGATTAGTTGGCTTGGTAGCTGGGGTATTTAAAATGAGTTTCATCTTTTTGTTCCCACCTTATAATTTTCTTGTACTTGTCACCAATCTATTAAAAATGTGTTAGATATAGTATGAAGAAACTTCTTTTCCGTTATGACAATTCTCTCCTCATTTCATTTGTTCATTCGTCTATCATTCTTGGATTATACTTTTCTTGGTAAAATCTATAATTTGGTCAATAGTAAGTAATTTTTCGGGAGTCTCATCAATTGAAACAGTGTTATTTTTAGTTAGTGAGGTTTCAGTTGATTACTTTTGTATTGCAGGGGCATGATGGAATTGATTTGGAGATAAATTTGAATGGAAGCAGAACTCTACAGGATGATGACCGATATGATGAATTTGTATGTGCTGATCTCTTTGGTTACCTGGGCATTTCAAGACTGAACTTTTCTTATGCAAGGGATGATTTTTGAGAACTCGAAGCACAAATTCACATGTTATGTTTTTTTAACTCCAAATGTTTTTGACTGTCAAATCTTTTTGGATGTTCCATGTTGATAAGTGGATATTGCTTCAGTGGTTGATTTTGTTAATCATATGCCTGAGCTAAATGTCTTATTGTTTTGTATGCTAGGATAGCATATTGCCATTTGATAATTCTTTTGGGTGTGGTTTTTATGATACAATATATCATTGTCTCTCACTTCTCCTTGATTGGTACTTCTGTGTGGGATCAGGGAACCAATGAACACCAAACGATGACATTTGGAATGGATGCGCAGCACATTCAGGGAAGGGAGAAAGAGATTAAACAGGTTATGGAAGGTTCTTGTATCGGAGTTGCGAGACGAACTATTCACAATGTGATAAATATAAGTCTTTTTATTATGTGTAGGTTGTGAAATCAGTGAATGAACTCGCCCAAATCATGAAGGATCTCTCAACCCTTGTTATAGACCAGGTAAAGACCATTTTTTTTTTTTGTTTGTCAATCTGGGTTTGTATCAACTAATGAACGTTGTGATTTTATCAGGGTACCATTGTCGATAGAATTGACCACAATATTCAGAATGTTGCTGCTTCAGTTGAAGAGGGCTATAAGCAGCTTCAAAAGGTTCTCTCTCTCTTTCAAAGATCACTGTCATTTGTGATCCAAAAACTGAGATATCAAATAGTTAAAAGAGTTTTGAGAATTGTATTTGTTTCCTCACCGTTCTCTACCATAATTTTTCTCTCTCTTAAAAAATTATTAGAATTCATAGCCAAATTCCGAAATAAAAGGTTTTGAAAACCCATCGTATGAAGTAGATGAGTTCAGTTTTTTCTTTCAAAACTAGGCATGGGTTTAGAAAACCCATCGTATAATTTGATAAGTTCTTAGGTTTATAAACTTCTCAAACTAAATGAGTGGAACATTTCATATTATTGGTGGTTTAATGATGATTTTGGTGAAAAGATGAGGGATGATGGTGGGATGTTTTGGCATCTGCAGGCAGAGAAGAGTCAGAAGAATGGAGGAATGGTGAAGTGTGCAACGGTGCTGGTTATTATGTGTTTCATAATGCTGGTTCTGTTGATACTGAAGGAGATAATTATGTAACAAATGTTCCCCTTTGGCCTGATAAGGATTTTGACAACTGCCGGCTGGTAAGCTCTAAGCAGGTGCCGTTCCTTTCGTGTATTATTCTTAGAGTCTTGAATGTGGCATTGTTGAAATGATATTCTTTGAAATATCTTAATTAGTTGAGTGTTTTGTTGAGAATTCTTTTCCAACTTTTTTATGTAAATTACTAAAAAATTATCTTCACTACCTTCACTTCTCGGTAACCCCTAACCCCTAGCTCCCTACCATTGAATATAGGTGCCCACCCTAATCGTTGTTGTCGCCCACAAGTATCGAACACAAGTTAGTTCATTGTGTTTAATAATCATCGCGAACACAAGTTAGTTCGTTTTGTTTAATAATCATCGTCGTTTATAAATTTGATGTATGTAGAGATATTCCGAGGGTATAATAAACTTAATGGCCCTCTTAAATTAATAGTGATCTCAATGTTTTAAAACGCTTTCCTTGCTGGATAAGCTCGAGCTTGTTGCTTTTTTCTCACGACAAAAGGAAAGCCCAAACCCACTGTGCTATTAGGTCAGCCCAGCCCACTGTGCTATGTTCCCCTTTTGGGCTTCTACCTCAGTCGATGGGCTTTCCTTCCTACGTCGGCCCAAGCCAACTGCGCTATTAGGGCCAGCCCACATCGTCACCCACTGCTCTTATTTTAAAACGCGTCTATGTCTTTTTTTTCTAGGTCAGCCCAAGCCCACTTCCCCTCGGCCTTTTTTTCCTCGAGATTTTAAAACAGCTCTCAGGTCAGCCCAAGCCCACCGATTTGTTTCCTTTTCTATTATTATTTTAATTAAAATTTGGATTAAATTTTTTAAAAATTATATTTATAATTTAATTCATTTATATTTATGCAAAATATATATTATTTTAATATGAAGTAAAATAAGTAAAAATTAGAGTTATTATTAAATTTTAAAATTGAATAAAAAATAAATTATTTCTAACCCATCCCCATTTTACTTGGATAAATTATATAATTGAATAATAAAAAAATTTAAATTATATAAATCATTTAAATTTCATTCGAATATTTTTTTTATCTTAGTCTTATTTTATAAATTTAAATTTCAAATTTTTTTTATCTAGATATTATTTTTTTTTAATTTAAATTTCAAACCCTTTTTATCTTAATATTATTTTTTAAATTTAATTTTCAAACCCTCTTTATCTCAATATTATTTATTATCATCCTCAAAACCTTCCTACATGCATAATATATATATATATATTTATCTAAATATATTTTTTTTTTTTAAATTTAAATTCGAAACCTTTTTATTTTAATATTATTTTTTAAATTTAATTTTCAAACCCTTTTTACCTTCTGAGATATATGAATAATATATATATATATATACACACGCCCTTATTATTTATTATATTCTGTTAGATCCTCTTCTTAATCGTTAGCTTCTTTAATCACTCTCCCTTCAACTCTTCTTCAGCTTCAACTCTTTCTCAGATTTTAATGGGTTCTAATTCAAACCAAGAAAAGCAAGCTGGGTTTGGCGGTGATAATATGTATCAATATATTCCATCCTTACAAATAGCTTCAACACAAGGAGGTAGCCTCATTAACGCTACCTCTGCAAGTATTAACTCCGGTGGAACGCCGTCAGGATTCAACGACAACGGTGTCGGAAGAGCCAGTTCTTCAAACCCTCATGGCGGTGATAATATGTATCAATATATTCCATCTTTACAAATAGCTTCAACACCAGGAGGTAGCCTCATTAACGCTACCTCTGCAAGTATTAACTCCGGTGGAACGCCGTCAGGATTCAACGACAACGGTGTCGGAAGAGCCAGTTCTTCAAACCCTCAAGCTTCAATGAACAAGAGGAATGGTTCTCATCAAAAACAACGATTTATTTGGACTCAAGAACATCATCAATCGTTTCTTGAAGTTATTGAACTTCTTGAAGCTCAAAATGGCACATCAAATAGGAGTAAGTTTACGTTTTTCTTTCGTTTTATGAATCTTTGTTATCAAAAAAAATCTAATTTGTTGTTTGTGTTCTATTAATGTAGAAGTTGTTCCCAGGAAGATCTTGGAAGAAATGCGAAAAAGATATCCAAATATCACTCGAGAAAACATTGCTAGCCACCTTCAAGTAAGAGGATTTCTCGTTCTCGTTCTCGTTCTCGTTCAAGATTGTTATTCTTTCCATTTTAATTTTAACAAGGAATTTGTTGGTGCATGCAGAAACATAGATTGCATCTCAAAAATTTGAACAACAGAGAGTTGAATAATTCAGCTACTAGCCTTAATTCTCAGCTTCTTCTCCAAAGCCCTTCCTTTGTCATAAACCCTAATTCTCAGGTTCCTCAATCGACCTGTTCAAGCTCCAAAAACCTTAATTTTAATGTTCCTCCACATACCCATTCCCGTTCGAAAAACCCTAATCCTCAGCCTCCTCTACGAATCCATTCCCGCTCGGAAAGCCCTAATTCTTGCCCTTCTTCACAAAACCATTCTAGTCTCATAAACCCTAAGTATTATCATCGAAGCCATTTAAACCCTAACAATCATCCTCGAAGCCATTTAAACCCTAATTATCATTCCGAAAATGCTAATTGTCACCCTCTTCCACAAACCCATTTCAATTCCATAAACCCTAATTGTGACCCTCTCCCACAAACCCATTTAATTTCCAACGACCCTAATTATCAATCTATTCCACAAACCCATTTGTATTTCATGAACCCTCATTCCAATTCAAACGATCCTAATTATCAATCTATTCCACAGACCCATTTCAATACCATAAACCCTAATTCCAATCATATTAGCCCTTGCCCTCCTCCAATTTCACACAATCAAACCTCCTCCCTTCATCCTATCATAGATAACCCTCTTGAAGCACTTAATAACCCAAACTTTTTTCAAGATTACAACATGAATTTCAATTCTGACGTCCTTCAATTTGGTGGTGCTGTCGACAATAACATGTCTCTGCCTTTGGATTCTTGCTGTCCTATCAATTTAAATCCCAATTTTCAGGTTGGTTAAATAATCATTATCTTCTATCATATTTATGATTACTGAATTTGATATATAAATTCTATAATTATTTTGCAGATGAACTACAAACAAGCTCTCCAATCCATGCAATACCCCGACAATAGTTTTGTATCACAACAAAATTTTGATAATCATATGGCCAATGATTCAATATTACACCAACGTTTTGATAGCTACGTGGAAAGTGATTCAACGTTGCTACAAAGTGTTGATACACATCCACTTGTATTGTCAAATATTTGTGGTACCCACCATCCTCTCTTGTGTGTTTTATTTATTTGGTTCAAATTTGGATAAATCATTTATGTTCTAACATTTTTTTCCTCTTGTTATGAATCGAGCAGATACATGGGTTGAACCATCACCAAATCTCGAAAGGATAAATGAACCTTTTACACCTCAAAATCATTCCGATGAAACGAATGAAAATGGATGCAACTGAGTAGATGGGTTGAGAAGTGTTCATGAGCTTTGTTCAAATAGAATAAGTATATATCACAATTTGTTCTTTATTTTGTGTGTTTATTTGTTTATTAAAAGAATGGAACTTGTGTATATTCCTTTATTACAGGAATGGAACAAATAATTATATTAATGAGAGCTATATTTTTTTTCTCTCTCCTTCCATCTTCTTCCTCTCTATGACAGTCGTGATTTTCGAACCACAATCGAAATATAGTGAAACAAATAGATAAATAAGAAATAACAACTTACAACTTACAGAAAGAATCGTTTCCTTCGAAGAACTTTAAGCACTTGTACTTTCCAATTCTCTTTGTTGTTGTGAATAGAGCATATATTTGATCGTATACCTGCAATTGAATATTGAATCAATAAACGTTGCAATATTCATTTGTCATCAAATATAGACAGTCAGGTCAATCAACCACCCCGTTCTTTTTTACCTATATTCACTCCATTCGAATATTTAACTTAGAGATAAATTTTGGCACACCAATCAATATCGTTGATTATAAATTTAATGTATGTATAGTAAAACTTAGACAGTATAGTGTATTTAATTGTTGGAGTTATTAATTTAGTATATTTAATAATCTTACTATAAATTAAATAAATTTGGACCGTTTGTTTGAAGAGTTAATTTTGAAATCTCTCCTACGTATAAGCCGACAATATATTAAATTATTATTTTAATTAAAATTTGGATTAAAATTTTTAAAATAATATATTTATAATTTAATTTACTCCTTTCATATTTTATATTTAACATCAATATAATTATTTCAATTTTAATAGAATCAATAGAGTAAAACGAAGTATAAATTATAGTTATATATTGATCTGAATCCTTACAATTATAGTCAGAGTAGCCTCAATTCCTCTACCTCTACCTCTACCTCTACTGGTATTAACTCCAGTCGAACGTGGTGAGGATCCGGCGAAACTCTAAGGCTTCAATGAAGAACCTGAAGAATGGTTCGCATCATCTATCGAGAATAAAAAAACAACGATTAATTTGGACTCCAGAACTTCATCAATCGTTTCTTGAAGTTCTTGAAGTTCTTGAAGCTCAAAATGGGTCATCAAACGGGAGAGAGTTTATGTTTTTCTTTCGTTTTATGAATCTTTGTTATCATGAAACCTAATATGTGGTTTGTGTTCTATTAACGTAGAAGTTGCTCCTAGGAAGATCTTGGAGGGAATGGAGTTTCTTCTTTGTTCTTGTTTTGTTCTTATTTCCATTTTGATTTTGACAACGTTTGATCTAAAAGTAATTTATTGGTTACATGCAGAGACATAGATTGCATCTCAGAAATCAGAATAATTCAGCTAAATCCTCTTCCAACTCTCTACCTTTCTCTTCTACCATTGATTCTCAGCTTCTTCTCGAAAGCCCTACCACTGCCATAAACCCTAATTTTCAGGTTCCTACCTCGAGCTTCGAAAACCCTAATTATCATCCTTGAAGCCATTTAAAGCCTATCTATCATCACGAAGTCATTTAAACCCATATAATTATCCTCGTAGCCATTCAAACCCTAATTATCATTCCAAAACCACTGATTTTCACCCTCTCCCACGAACCCATTTCAATTCCATAAACCCTAATTGTCACCTTCTTCCACAAACCCATTTCAATTCTATAAACCCTAATTATCACCCTCCTCCATAAACCCATTTCAGTTCTATAAACCCTAATTCCAATTCAGAGATGATGAACGTTTGTGGAATCAAGTAAACCCACATTTTGATCAACCCACAAACAGATTTTGGTATTAGCCCTTGCCCTCCTCCAATTTCACCCAATCAAACCTTCTCCATTCATCCTATCATGGATAACCCTTTTGGGTCATTTAATAACCCAAACATTATTTAAGATTACAACGTGAATTTCAATTATGACAACGTTTAAGCTTGTGGTGCTGTCAGCAATAACATGTCTCATCTTTTGGGTTCTTGCTGTCTCTTTAATTTAAATTCCCATCAGGTTAGTTAAATAATCATTATCTTCTATCATATCAATGATATCGAGATTGATATATAAATTCTATTATCTTCTATCATATCAATGATATCGAGATTGATATATAAATTCTATAATCATTTTGCAGATGAACTATGAACAAGCTCTTCAATCCATGCAATACCCGGACAATAGTTTTGTATCACAACTAAATTTTGACAATCATATGGAGAATGATTCTACATTACAACAGGGTTTTGATAATAAAATGGACAATTGTTCGATATTACAGCAAGGTTTTGATAATCCCGTAGAGAATGGTTCAATATTAGAGCAAGAGCAAGGTTTTGATAATCAAATGGAGAATGATTCAATATTACTACCAAGTTTTGATACACATCCTCAAATATTTGATGTATGTCGAGATATTTTGAGGGTATAATAAAATTAATGGCCCTTTGAAATTATTAGTCGCTTTCCTTCGGCTCATAGCTCAAGCTCTTGCTTTTTTCTCACCACAAAAGAAAAGCCCAAGCCCACTGTGCTATTAGGTCAGCCCAGCCCACTGTGCTATGTTCCCCTTTTGGGCTTCTCCCTCAAAATTTTAGTCTATGGGCTTTCCTTCCTAGGTCGGCCCAAGCCCACTTCGCTATTCGGCCAGCCCACATCGTCACCCACTTCTATGTTCTTATTTTAGAACTCGTCTATGCCTTTCAGCCTAGGCCCACTTCCCCTTACCTTTTGCACCGATATGTTCACGTTTTCTATTATTATTTTAATTAAAATTTGGATGAAATTTTTAAAAAAAATTATATTTATAATTTAATTCATTTATTTTATACTTATGCATAAATATACATTATTTTAATTTTAATAAAATCTAAAATAAGTATAAATTATAGTTATTATTAAATTTAAAATTGAATAAAAAATAAATAATTTCTAAATATTTTTTTTTAATTTAAATTTCAAACGGTTTTTATTAATTTTCAAACCCTTTTTATCTTAATATTATTTATTATCATCCTCAAAACCTCCTTATTTAGATATATACATAATATATATATATATATATATATATATATGCCCTTATTATTTATTATATTCTATTAAATCCTTTGCTTAATCATGATTAATTTCTTTAATCACTCTCTCCTCACCTTTCTCTTAACTTTCTTCCGATTTTAATGGGTTCTAATCCAAACCAAGAAGAGCTGGGTTTGGTGGTAATGGGTCCTCAACTTTTCCTCAGATTTTAATGGGTTATATTACTGGTTTTGATAATTCAGTGGAGAATGGTTCGGGCAAGGTTTTGATAATCAAATGGAGAATGATTCAATATTATACCAAGGTTTTGATAGCTTCATGGAGAATGATTCAATATTAATGCAATTTTTTGATAATAACATGGAGAATGATTCTACGATAGAACAAGGTTTTGGTAATCCAATAGAGAATGGTTCAATATTACTCTAGAGTTTTAATAATCAAATACAGAATGATTCAATATTACACCAAGGTTTTGATAGCTATTTGGAGAGTGATTCAATATTACTACAAAGTTTTGATACACATCTACTCTCAAATATTTGTGGTACCCACCTTCCTCTCGTTGTTTTATTTAGTTCAAATTTGGATAAATTATTTATGTTCTAACATTTCTTACTCTAATTAATATGAATCTAACATATGCATGGGTGGAACCACAACCGAATTTCACGAGGATGAATGAATCTTTTACACCTGATCCAACAAATAAAAATGGATGCAATTGAGTAAATGGTCGTAGCATTCTTGAGCTTTTTTCAAATAGAGTATGGTATATATCTATGTTTAAAAATTTTGTTGGCATATTTATAGCACAATTTCTTAGTTATTAGGTGTCTTAATTATTAAAAGAAAGTAACAAGTAATTATATGAATGAGATGAATATGAACCACAATCGAGATATACTAAAACGAATAGATGAATAAGAAATAACAATTTGATGGGAAGAATTCTTTGATTTGGAGAACTTTAAGCATTTATACATTTTCTTTGTTGTTGTTAATAGAGCATGTTTTCTGATGAGTATTTATCCATTTGTTTTTGTTAACCGAGCATCTATTTGATGAGTATTTATATGTGAGTAGAATGTATAGGATGAGTATTTATCTATTTATTATTGTGAATAAAATATATATATCTCATGACTATTTATTTCTTTGTTGTTGAATAAAGTATAGAATTTATAATCGCCCTAAGCTTTTTGGTTTTTTTTTTTTTTTTTTTTTTTTCATTTCGAGACTAGTATACATAAAAAAAATTAGTGAAAAATAATTTGAAAAATAATTAATTTTTTTTTTGCCATTTTTACATCTCAATGAAATATAACGAAACAAATAAATAAAATAAAAAACAATTTGAGATCGAGTTTCTCAATTTACACATTTTTTTATTGTGCTAAATCAAACTTATTAATCTTTCTAATTATCTTTTGATAATAATAAATATAAATTATATTATTAATTAATAAAAAAAATTAATTATATAATAATTATATATTTCTAAATATAATATAAAATATCTTCCTCTATCCTCACCTTAATTCCATTTTCTCCACAAAGTCATTACCAAAAATCCTAATTATGACATCACAAAAACTCTAATTATCACCGTCAAACAGTGATTATCAATTTTCTCACCTTTTTAAATATTTCCAAAAATCCTAATTTTCAATCTCCTCCCCATTTTCAAAAATACTAAGTTCTTTCTCAACACATTTCAAATCCAAAAATCATTTTCGTAATTGAATGCACATCACTTATAAACACTTGATAAAGTGTAATCAAAATGCATATTAGTTGTGATTGAATAAGTAAATGTTCAACATCTTTTTAAAAATAGCCAGGCCAGGTGAATCCATATAATTCAGTTTATTACAATATATAATCTAGACGATAATACTATACCCATCATTATTTATAAATTTGATACATGTAAAGTTATTCGGAGGGTATTAAGTTATTAGTTATTATGTTTAATAATTTTTAATTTGACATGTGTTGAGACAATTTGAGGTATAATAAATTTAATTTAACTGCCATAAACCCTAATTTTTAGGTTCCTACATCGCCAGCTTCGAAAACCCTAATTATCATCCTCGAAGCCATTTAAATCCTATCTATCATCCGCGAAGCCATTTAAACCCTAATAATCATCCTCAGATTCATTTAAACCCTAATTATCGTTCCCAAACCGCTAATTGTCACCCTCTCCCACGAACCCATTTCAATTCCATAAACCCGTCACCTTCTTCCCCAAACCCATTTCAATTCCATAAACCCTAATTATCACCCTCCTCCACAAACCCATTTCAGTTCTATAAACCCTAATTACAATTCAAATATGATGAATGTTTGTGGAATCCAAGTAAAGCCATTTTGTTCAACCCACAAACACTGATTTTGGTATTAGCCCTTACCCTCCAATTTCACCCAATCAAACCTCCTTCATTGATCCTATCACGATAACCCTTTTGGAGCATTCAATAACTCAAACATTTTTTAAAATTACAACATGAATTTCAATTCTGACGACCTTCAAGCCGTGTTTCAATTCTGACAACCTTCAAGTCGGTGATGCTGTCGCCGATAACATGTCTCAGCCTTTTGATTGTTACTGTTCTTTCAATTTAAATCTCCATTTTCAAGTTGGTTAAATAATCATTATCTTCTATCATATCTACTATACTGAGATTGATATATAAATTCTATAATCATTTTGCAGATGAACTATGAACAAGCTCTTCAATCCATGCAATACCCCGACACTGGTTTTGCATCACCAACAAAGTTTTGATAATCATATGGAGAATTATTCTACGTTACAACAAGGTTTTGATAATCCTATGGAGTATGATTCAATATTACAGCAAGGTTTTGATAATCCTATGGAGAATGGTTCAATATTAGAGCGAGGGCATAGGTTTGATAATCAAATGGAGAATGATTCAGTATTACACCAAGGTTTTGATAGCTACGCAGAGAGTTATTCAATATTACTACAAAGTTTTGATACACATCCACTCTCAAATAATCAAATGGAGAATGATTCAATATTACACCACGGTTTTGATAGCTACGTGAAGAGTGATTCAATATTACTACAAAGTTTTGATACACATCCACTCTCAGATAATCAAATGGAGAATGATTCAATATTACACCATGATTTCGATAGCTATGTGAAGAGTGATTCAATATTACTACAAAGTTTTGATACACATCCACTCTCAAATATTTGTGGTACCCACCGTCCTCTCTTTGTTTTATTTAGTTCAAATTTGGATAAATTATTTATGTTCTAATATTTTTTTTACTCTGATTAATATGAATCGAGCAGATGTATAGATGGAACCACAACTGAATTTCACAAAGATAAATGAACCTTTTACATCAAATCAAACAAATGAAAATGGATGCAATTGAATAGATGGTCGGAGCAGTGTTCTTGAGCTTTGTTCAAATAAATTAAAAGTTTTGTTGTCATATTTATAGCACAATTTCTTCGTTATTTTGTTTGTTGTGTCTATTTGCTTATTAAAAAAATGGAACAAATATTTATATTTATGAGATATTATGTTTTATGTCCCTCTCCTTCCAGCTTCTTCCTCTGTCATTAGTAACGTCATGTTTGTTATTGTTGGATATGATCTAATCCAAAGATATTTAAACAAATAAATAAAATAGAAAAAAACAACTGGATATAGCATACATCTCATGAGTGTTTATCTCTCGAATATTTTTAAAATATTATTAAATGTTTGAAATAAATTAGTATCGAAAAAGAAAGTATTTTATTAATTTAAAATATATGATAATTAAATAAAGCACGTCAGTTCTCACGTGTGACCAATAATCTGATGGGTATTTGATTTTGGAACATTTAAAAAACATCCCTTTTATTTAATTTTTGACATTATATGAATGTAAGAGCGACATTTATGAAAGCATAGCTCCAGCTGTACCCTAAATTCTAAACTATATAATTAATCAGTTGCCATGTCTTAATCATATCATCAATAATATTATATAATTATTTATAAATATATTTAAAATAAAAGTAAAATACCACGTCATCACCCCGAGCAGAGTTTTAAATTCTAAATTAGAATTATAATCAATTAATTAAGAAAGATGATTAAATTCTAAATTAAAATTAACAAGAAGAATATTCCTAATCAATCATTGTGCCGACTTACACGTAGCCAACACTTTGATTACATCACACTTCTGCCACGTAGCTGGCCACGTGTGCTGCCCATCTTTCAAATCCTTTTTTGGCTTTCTTCTCTGGATTTTTATTAAAAAATTTAATATTCTTTTGTCTTAAATCCTTCATTAATAAATTAGGGAAAAAAAAAAAAAAAAGAGGAGGGAAAGGGTGTGGGAGTAGATAAAGTGGAGGGTGGCTCACAAGGCTGGCATGATTCTCCTTCTCGAGTTTCAAGCCTAGTGTTCTTGATGGCATACCGATTTGTGTCCACACCCCTTAGATGGCTCAGTCTCTTCACTGACACACTACTCGATAACCTGACTTTGATGTAACGGCACAAACCCACCACTAACAAATGTATTGCATTCCTTATTTGCCCACCCCAACAATCCTCAACCGTTCAAATCATCACCATTGATGGCAATGTAGATTGATAATAAACATTAGTTGGACTTGTCCATCATTGATTTGTCGATGGCACGTCATTCTTTCCAAATAGACTCTAAATCAACGAGCCTATGTGAAACTACACAGGTAGGAGGAGAATTCAGAATTGTATTTACAATTCAAATCATTTTGTTTTGTTTTCTCCTTAATGTAGTTTTTGACGAGGAGGGATCACAGAGGAAGCATTATTTCCTGAAATGGCCAATCAGGGCGGTTTGATCAAGAGAACAAACTGATATCTGAAAGCATGGAGGCATACAAAATCTATGCAAATATAATTAATTCCATAACTTAAAAGATCAATACAAGGATTAAACATGAAAAACAGACGATTCTAAATATAGAAACAAAATTGAAAAAAAATGAGTATGGATTCTATTTCTTATTTTCTGAACAAGGAATGATGATAATAATCATGGGGTGTAGAGTAAAATACAGATGATCTGATCAAACAAGAGGAAGAGTCAATGGACACCCAGAGAACAAACAGAATAAATAAAAATCTGTAAAGAATGGAAGAAAGAATGGGAAATTTTGAAGGACTTAATTAGGAAGAGGAAGAAGAAGAAGGGGAAGGATGAGGGACGGCTTTTTTTTTTTCTTTTTGCCTTCATATAACTTACCGGCGATGGCGGACGGTTGTCGGTGGTTCAGTGAGAGTGATCGTACAAGTCGTATGGAGACCAGAGGGAATCCAGAGGGCAGGGTTTCTTCGAGTCCAGCCTCATCCATGGCTTTCCACTTCCTGACCAGTGAAGAATGCTTACCGGACCGGCGTGGAGGTTCCGGCAGCTGCCTTTTACATTGTCGCCACCGAGTCCATGCTGGTTCCACCGGTGTTCAATTGGCGCTACATCACCAGCGAATACAAGAAGAAACGGCGGAAGCGAACCAAGCTCGTAAATCCGATTGGTTTTCTGAATCTCCATCCACCGTTCGATCCGCTTCGTGAAGCCTGCGCGTCGCCACTGAAAGAGATCTATCACCATCACGCCGGTGTTGAAGTAACACGGCTTCCTGCCAAGAAACGTTCCGGAAAACCGCTTCTCCGACCAAAATCGCGAGGTGAAGTACTTCGAGAAGTTTGCGTGACAATATTCTGGCGCTCCGATTGTTCGAGAATACAAATTAGTACTCCAAAGCTTCGTGATATCGTCAACAACAACGAGATCGGAGTCCAAATAAATCACTCTGCGAACACAGGGCTCCAATAGCTCCGCTAAATAGTTCCTCGCATAGTTAAGCGGCTGTTCAAGCGGTTGCCGCACAGACGTCGAAATCAGATTCTGAACAATCGCCGGATTGAAGTAATAAACCTTGAATTTCAACTGAGGAAAAGCGGATCTAACAATCGCTTCAAGATTCGTCTCTGTAACAAGGAAATGAAAGAACACGCTCTCTGGACAGAGCGAATGCTGCAGAATCGAATTTACAGCGGCGATTGAGCCGCGAAGGTATTCAAAATCGAGCGTAATCGCAACATGAACCAAACTCGGATCACAAACGCCAAATCTATCCGAAAATTTGGAGTAGCTTAGACTACATTGATCGGCATTGCGATACGTCGGCGACCTACGGAACAGAAACCGACTCTGTGAATCAGAGAGCGAGAGACGAACCGATTGCCGAAGATTAAACTCTAGATAAGAGGATCGAATAGCTTCCGCCGGAGGAAATGACTGGAGAGACGGAGAGAGAATAATCATCAACATAGCGGCAGAGAAGAATCCGGAAAATCTCATAATCCACAACATCTTGACTCTTCGAATCGCTGTTTTCCGCTTCCTCCTCGACTTAAAATCAAACGGATTGTTATCAAGATCAGGCAAAATCGAAAAGGGGAAAAAACCTAGGGTTCCTCGTCCAGGGTCCGCCAGGGCTGGAAATCAAAATAGATTGAACGGATCGATGTTCTTAAGCAACAAACAGAGAAATAGGTTCCAATATTAAGCCATTGCATGAGTGAACCGAAGTAGAGACGAAGTACGCCGTGGAAACGAAGCGGCCTCAGAAAAGAAATAGCCGCAGCAACATTCAGTGGACATGGAGGAAAAGAAGGCAAACAGAAGACTCACCGGTGGCCGGAGTGCCGCGGAAACCGAAAGACCTAGGGTTCTTCTTTCCTGCCGTTGTGCCTCCGTTCTTCGTCGTCGTCGTCGTCGTCCTCCTCCTCCTCCTCGATTATTCAGAGTTTATCGATTCCCGGGAAGAACACAGAACCAGAGTCACAGACAATAAGTAGCTGTACGACAGAGAGATTGAGAGAGAGAGAGAGAGAGAGAGAGAGAGAGGCTTTTGTTTTTAATATATTTTTGATTTTTTATAATAATAATAAAAGGAGTAAAATAGGAAAATTTAGTGCGTTAATGGAGTAGGTAAATTAAAGGGGGTGGATTTAAGAATTATTTTGAGAAAATGATAAATGTAAAAGAAATAATAATAATAATAATATAAAGATTATAAATTATGTGGGAGAGAAAAGGAAACAGCTGTCGTTGTCAGTTACCCGGATGAGTTGGTGGGACCCACTCCGCCAGATGTACTCGTGTACCCGTTCTGCACTTGTAGGCCTTTTCCACATAACTCCATTGTTTTTTCCTTTTTTATTTTTTAATTTTATATCTCATACACTCGTGAGATTTAAAAAAATAATAATAATTTTTTAATTTTATATTAAACTTTTTTATTATTATTATTATTCTTTGTAAATTACAACAAATCTCACAATTCTGAAAGTCCACGTCACTCGAAGGAGTGTACAAAACATTTTTTATAATGGTTTGAAAAAATCTAAATGGTTTGAAAAAATTTCGACAATGCGGACAATATCTATTAGCAGAGTTGTTTGGATAGTTGCAAATGGTATCAGAGTCCAACACCGAGAAATTTGACAACAAAGATACTGGGTCTCCCACACTAGACAGTATGCCAACGAGAACATTGGAGGCCACCACATGGGGCAATGTGCCTACGAGAACGTTGAGGGTTCAAAGGGGTGATTGTGTGATCACACCTTAGTTGAAAAGAAAAATAAAGTATTTATGGGTCTTAAAAATAGTGGATTATGAGGTCTCACATTGGAATATTAATAATGAGTTGTCAGCTCCGTGAAATTTGAGTCATTATTTTAATGTAAAGTATTTATCAAATATCTCGACGTACCATTAGAATATTAATAAAAAATATATATTATTTTAATTCAATGAAATAAAATTCCATAAATTATTCTGACAAAATAGATACGAAAATATATAATTTAAAGCCATTAATAATTTACTTCCTCCCCAAATTAATGTTCTTAACAGCAAAAACCCCAAAAATCGACGAACAGGACATAGATCTTAAAAATATATATATCTTTTATTGGAAATGACAATTCTATCCTTGCCGATGGGCCCCCCAGAATCTAAAGGCACCTGTGTCCTAGTGAAGGGCGCCTTGTCATTTCCTTTCTTTTTCTTTGTGCATAATAATGCAACTGTTTAAATGTTATTTTTTTTAAGAAAAATAATAATCATGAAAAATAAATAGCTGTTGTATTTTTTAAAATTAGATGTTTGTGAAAAAAAATAAAAGAATTTAGATGTGACAGAAAGGAACGAATTGGAATAAGGCACGTGGCGGAGGCAGTCAAATATATACGGTGGAGGACTACAGATGTACAGTACAGCACGGCGTATGATTAATAGGATAGATGGGTGGGTCCCACGTGGAGAAAGATCGTACGGTACAGCGTCTTCTAGGCCAGCCTGGCGTCCACCATCATCAATCTCTTTAAGTCGGTTTCCTTCTGCGTTTTCCCATTCCTGCCATGTCATAGTAGCACGTGCAAATTTTCTTTTTATCATTAAAATTCATTTTTTTATTATGACGTAATTAAGGGATTCTTTTTACCATTTGATGAATAATATTCTTAAAGTTTAATCATAATTCTTTTAAATAAATTAATTTAAAGCTTTATTGAAATAATAACTTGCTAACTATTTAACTATATATGTTCAAATGATACTATCTAACTTGATTATTTATAAATTCATAAGTTTGTGAGACATCAATCATAAATTAAATTCAAGCGTTTAAATTTATAATGTGCATGGCAAGCGATCTCATGGGTTGTTAAAATGTTGTAGCTCATTCGCCAAATAGTTCTATTTCGTTAACGAGTTCAAAAGAATTAGAGAATCCAATTGAACCTACTTTAGCTAGCCGATATTTCATACTTTTGACCTGTTACATATAGCCAAGCCATCAACCTCACCGTTTTAAAAGACATTAAATAAAAAAAAAAATACTACTGGCAAGAAATTTCCACGTTTGTACTAAATATTTTCAGTAAATGTCCACATCTAATTTATCGTCAAAATTTTGTAGTAACAAAGATATTTTCAGTCGCATTCATGGCCTGGCCAAAGACATAAACCCTAATTTTCCAATTAACAAGAACATCCAGAGATGAATTCTAAAAACTCGCTTTCTCGCACCAAATTCAACAATCGAAAACAGAGGAATTCATAAAATCTCAAACTCAGACCTCGTCTTCGTGAAGAAGCAAATTGGGGATACCTTTATTGACAGGAAATCGACGAGCAGTCTCAGGGCAAATAAGAGCGCCTTCCTCAAGATGTAGCTCCAGAAGCGCATGGTGGAATCGTTGCAGAAAGTCATGGGAATCGAGCATCGACGACTCGGCCTCCTCGGGAAGCTCCGCATAGCCCATAGCGCGAGAAGCATCGACGAGGGGCTTCCATTCGATCTTGGAGAACATGTTCTTGAGGAAGTCTGGGTTGAAGTCGACCTGCTTCTCGACAACTTTCTCAACCTCGATTCGGAGAGGGAAGCCATTGACAACACCCTTGATGTTGGAGGAGAGCATGTTGTGGGTAAGTAGCCTCATCTTTTTACTAAGCTCTTTCGCCTCTCTGTTAGCTATTTGGTATCACAATGTGTAAGCGGCGCTCTAGCACAAGATGATTGCTACCAAATTCTAAATTCCTGTCTCTTGAAGCTGCGTAGGGTTTTATTAAATAAATTAGCACACAATCTAATCATTTATTTACAAGAACATCTATTCCATGATAAATAATAATTACGGTAAAAACTGGTTGCGTCACATTATAGAATATTCTAAACAACCTTTATGAGGTCTCTTTAATATCTAGTAAATCAAACAAATTAGCTCAAAACATGAAAGAATATGCAAATGGGCAACACACAACACAAAAGAAATCAGCCCAAGCCAAAGGCCAAGACAAAAGGCAAAAGGCTCTACAGAAAAAGGGATCCAATGGTTCAAAATAAGAATGAACCCTAAACCCTAAAGATCAAACCTCCTCCCAAGTTATAATGATCTCCTAAAAGTTGTTCTGTTTCCATCAAGTCAAATGCACTACAAAATAGGGGTGTTAGGAATCACATATATCCACAATGGTATGATATTGTCCACTTTGAGCATAAGCTCTCATGGCTTTGCTTTGGGCTTCCCCAAAAGGCCTCGTACCAATGGAGATAGTATTCCTCACTTATAAACCCATGATCTTCCACTAAATTAACCAACGTGGGACTCACTCCCAATAATCCTCAACAAAGGGGCCATCATTCACGACTCACCTCCCTCATCTTTGAAGTAATGTATCACAGAAACTCATTGATTTTGGTTCTTACGCTATCTTTTTATTCATATTATTATGTATCTCTGCTAATATACTAATCTAATCCTCCCCTCCTCTGCTGTATGTTCCCCATTCCAGTAAAACGGCTCTGATGGATTGCTGCCTTTTGGCTTATTTACACGAAGGGACACCAAATTTCCATTCAACATCTCCAAGCCCATGAAATACAATCAAACTAAACACCACACCATCCATCGCAGTCTCTCAAATCCATACCCCAGGAAAATCGAAACTAGGTTTTGCCGAAAAAATCAAAACAAAAGGCACAGAAAACCAGCCCTTGAACCTACTACAAATCAAATTCAAATCCAAAAAAATCCAACAAATATGAGACAAAAGAGGACGAACACATTCAACATACATATAATCAGACGAAATTAAAGCACGAAATCAAATACCATAAATTTAAAAAAAAAAAAAACAGGGTAGAGATAAAGATCGAAAATCAAAGAGAACAGAGGATCTATAGAAGAACTCAGAGTTCTTACCGGAGAAGATCGAAGCGAAGCGATCGGATGGCGCCAGATGATAGGGTTCTTCGAATTGCGGCTCCCGGGAGATTAGGGTTTTGTCTATTGGGGAGAATAGAGTTCACTTGAATGAACACGTCAAGCTTTAAACCAATTAACCATTATTTTACTATTAAACCGAATATAAAAATTGCAACATATTCTTATATATTCTTATTGGTGCTTCAAAACTTTAAACTAATCATTATTATTATTATTATTATTATTAGTCTAATTAACCATTAAAACCACTAATAATCCCCTTATTAAAAAATTATTCAAAAATATAAAATTCTTCTGGGTTGTAAAATCCCGTGGTAGCTAATTGGGCCTGGGTTTTGTGAGCAAATTGGGCCTAGCCCATTTTATTTATTTATTTTGTCTCTTTTTTTAAAATGTAAATATAAAATATTGCTATTAAATAAAATATATATATTATTTAAGATACTTTAGTTCATCATCATGGGATTTAGTTCATGAATTATAATGTTTAAGATAATGTCATTTTTCTTTGTTAATTTAATTATATTTTTAATTATGATAATAAACCACTTAATATTTCAATTAATTCCTAACTATAACATTACATTACAAAGTTTAGTGGGAAAAAAAAGGAGTACAAAAATCAGCGGATAGGATTTTCTTCTCCTTTTTAGGTAGATCCTTACCGTCCACCTCCAAACCCCATAATCTCCACCGGATTATTCCGCCACCGTCGGCAACCGCCCGCCGACCCTACCCAGTCGGACAGATTCCGGCGGTGGCAACCGTCCCTGCGCCACCACCAACGAGTTATAGATCTCAGTGATCATTTTCTCATCATACTCCTTCAACGTGCTCCTTCCGGTGACGCCCCAGATCCCGTCGCCGCCGGAGCCGATGACCCTCGAGTTAGCAAACGCCAACATCGCCTTCACATACGAATCCCTCAGCCAAAGCAGCAGCTTCTTCAGCGACGGCAGTCGCCGGAACAGCCTGAGTTTGGGCGAGATCTTGATCCGCCACAGGCGCCGCCGCCGCCGCCTCCCTCCAGCGGCACCAAGTTGCACAGTCTCCGGCCTGCCACGACCCACCGATCCCGCCAGCTTCCGGTAGCTCTTCCGCCTCCAATAGCGCCTCAAGCCATTGTAAACACTCACAGAAACACCTTCCATGGAAATGTAATCCAGAAATTTGGGAATGGAGTGGGAAATTGGAGTGATTTAAAGAGAGAGAGAGAGAGTTATAATTAATAATTTTGTTGGGGAGGAGGAGAAAGAAGATGGGGTGGTGGTGCTCATAAATGGGCAGGGAGGCGACTCTGTTCTAACCTGTATAGCTTGCTTGCTTTCCCACCCAAATTGAATGATGATGCCAAGATGTGAGATCCTCGCCATTGGATTTTATGTGCTTTTTATGATGAAATCAAAAGGAAACACATTTAATTCTCGACTCTCGTTGTTAGTATGCAATTTTAGTTTATATCCACTAATTTTTACGTCCCGAGCACATACATAAAGAGAGGTGAAAATGATGGATGTTCCCGTTAGAGACTCATTACTAGGGACAGGGTCAATGATCACTCACGTCATGGGCAGCATGACGAGTTCAACCACGGGAGTGGCTACAATGAGCAGAAAGAAATCTTACTCACTGGCCTAAACAACGAGCAACATTGGTATCTGATGACTGGCCTAAACAATTTGGTATCTGATGACTTCAATGTTTTTTTAAAGAATGGAAATTATACCCACCAACCATCGTAGATTCTTTTAGCATGTTTTGTTCTAAGTCACATGTTTTTTTAAGCAAAATTCTAAGTTGCTTGTCACGGTAAAGTAAAATGTACCTTTTTCAGTCATATTTACAAACTTAGGTACTTTTCATCGGATTCATGTGCATATTTAATATAAAATACGCGGTCGATCATGTATAATTTATTGAATTATTCTATGGTTGCATTTAGTTTTGGAACTATAGATTGAATTGAAACTATTATTGTAGATTGAACCCTCTTTCACGCAAGCGTAGGAGATGGTACAAAATTAATGAGCCGTGGAGAGAACTAGAAGTAATCATAATTGAGGCAACAAATTAATTGGATTGATTTTGTTTAATTTAATAGCATTGCTATTTCGCCTTAATCAAAATTAACTCCAAAATAATTTAATGATAATTGATATATAAATTATATTGTAATAGAAACTAGATGCGGATTTAAGAGAACATTACTTATAAGGGCGTGAAAAGGACCCTCAAAAGAAGTGGACGGTGAGATCTCACATGGGTTGGAAAGATGAACCAAATATTCCTTAAAAGGACGCGGAAACCTCTCCCTATAAACACGTTTTAAAATCATGAAGCGGCTGACAATACGTGTTAGCAATGAGTTTTAACTGTTACAAATTAGTCCGATAAATTTACGGTTCAAAGACTTATTTAAAAATTTAGATACCGACTTATAATTCTTTTAAATATATATTATATATTTATTTATTTGTTTGTTTGTTTATTATTATTATTATTATTATTTTGGAGACATTACAAAATACAAAATGATTGTAAAAATTAAACTTTTTTTTAACCTAATTTTTGAAAAAAATAAAAATAAGAAAGGGTAAGGAAAATAAGAATATATATATATATATATATATATATATATATGAACTTGCATTAATTGTAGGTGTGAACAAATATACAACGACCTTCACTAGTCAAGTACATATCTTTTTTTTGTGGTCTCTATTTTATTATATGCTTTTCATGTTGCTCTCAAGTTTCATGGCAATCGCATGAAGCACGCCTTTTGTCCTTTGATGTTACGTATATCTTTTAATTACATAATTTTTAATCTTTATAAATTATGAACGATTTGAATTTCAATCAATCTTAAGAATCGTGACACTTGTTTGTCTTCGCTCTCACGTGGTTGGATGAACACCACTTGAGGATCATCACCTTGTCGATCTGCATGGGAGTCATAACCCACTGTCTTTTATAGTATAGTTATGACACTCTACTCACTTAAAATCATGGTCATCCTAAATGACTTACTCAGGACACAATTGCATCACGGATTATTACACTATTCTTTCTTTCTTTTTTTACTAAAATCAATGAATAAATTGAGTGCAAATGATAAGTAACGTAATAATTACAACACATGCTTAAATTTCACATATAATGTAACGAAATTGGAATACGGAGACGAAACTAAAATTCCATATCGTCCATTTCAAATAACTTACGGTACGATGTGTTCGTGTTAGAATAGCTTTATCTTAAAAGAAAGCTACCAACCACTAAAGGCATGCACATGCACATGGGAAACAATGATCCAAAATGCTCAAGTTTTGGTGCCAAAGTTAATGGCATTTCTAACAAACACTTCCCTTTTACTCAAAGGAACCTACCTATACTAATCTCATCCCCTTTCTATGCAACAACCAACACGGAAAGCAATAACAACTAAATAGTGCCTTTGGTTCGAAAAATTCGAAAATTTTAATACATCAAATTTTAATACGTCAAGTTTGATCCATTAGAAACATAGTATTAACTTAGATATACGATTGGATAGTATTATGGGTAACTTAGATATTAAGTGTATATAAATTAAACTTACAAATGCCTTAAAAGGCCAATGACACAACAGATCAGATTCAAAGTTATTATTATTTTTTATATTTTTCTTTAAAAAATTTGGTTTTTTTTTTTTTTTTGTTTCACAAAAAGTCAAAATCATCGTCTAAATTTCATCAATGATAATAATAATAATTTTCATGAACATGGCAATTAAATTAAGGAGAGGAAGAAAAGGGGCCAGGATGGATGAATTTGAATTCTATCATATAATTACATTACATTGTTATTTGGATTATAAAATGTAAACAAAGTAAAATAAAGAATCATTAATACGTCTTAGTTTATTCCATTATACTACCCTTCTTTTGATCTCCTCCGCCGCCCATTCCCGTTCTTCAATGGCGTCGGAAAACAAATCGAGCCCATTTTTAGAGTCGAAGAATGAACAACAAAGGCAAAAACTTCCACGAAAATGGAACGGATTTACCAGACCCAGAAGGCGGAGTGTAATAATAGTAAGGAAAATACGGTAAAATTGGGTTCGGCGGCGGCGGAGCAAGCCCGGGATATTGCCCTCCGTCTGTTGGGGTGTACGGCTGGATGGAGGACGGTGGCGGCGGTGAAGGATAGACGCATGCATCGCACGAAGGGGGAGAGGGAGGCGGAGGGCATTCGGGTGTGGCGAGTGGCGGTGGAGGAGATGGAGGTGGAGGGGGCGGCGGTGATGGAGGCGGTGGGCAGTCAACAATTAACGGAGGCGGCGGCGGGAGTTGACATGGGTTGTCGCAACTGGCGCACATGGAACAGCCAACCTGATCCCTGGCCGAGACGGTGGGCGAAGAGAGGGAGAATTTGGAGAGGGAAATGAGGAAGAGAGTGAGGAAAATGGAGGTGAGATCCGCCATTGATGTGAAATGGAAGCTTGAGGATTGAAAGGAAATATAAAGCCAGAGCATTAGGCGATTTGGTGGCGCATCATTAATTAGTTAAGACTTCTGGCATGTGTATGGGCGAGAGTGCACAACCCAGTGGGCTAGTGATTTAGCTTCTACGGAACCATCCATCATCAAAAGACGTGCCAAAAATTGACCATTATTTTAACCCTATTCGCACGTGCCAACAATCGTGCGGGATTCATCTTGGTTCTCCCACATCGGAAGAGAATTCAAGTCGGGTAAAAGATGCAGGGTATAAATCAACCGACCTTCCTTCTCCCACATCGGATTTCAAGTTTTATTGAAATTACAGTTCTGACACTCTATTTAAAACTGTTCACCCCGCAGAGCTCTAAGAACTCTCGACTGCGGAGCATCGGGATCCCCGCGCATAGCATTTTGTTTCCAAATCTCCGTCGCTCTTTGAAGAGAATCATCCACTGTATCCTCCTGCTCCGGTAACCACCCTATCATATCCTTACCGCCGCCGTCGTACGCCGTCCCGTCCGTCGCTCTAGTTATCGGTTTCCGCGTGTCAACAAACTCGATCTCGGCTAACGGCGATGCCTTGTGGTGCTTGTAGTATTCTCTTTCGTCGTCGTCTTGTTCTTTACGGTCTTTTTCTCTGTTTTTTTCCTCAGCGGGAAACGGCCCGCCGTCGAAGCCGATGCAGCTGACGTCGGCTAGTACCGTACTGTGAGCTCTTTTTTGTTGAGTGATAGGCTTCGAGGCCTGGGCGACCGGCGTGGTTTCTAAGCGAGGGGAGGAGGCGTATTGAGCCTTCGGTGGCGCAAACGGCCCATTTGAATCTCCCTGTTTGGAATCGTCTCTTTCGTAATTGGATTTCGCACTGTCTGGCTCTAAATTATCCTGTGATTGCTACAAAAACAGAAAAAAGTTTAAGATATTGCTTCCTTGAAAAGCGCTTATAAATCATTATATGATGAGAGAAAGAAGAAATACCTCTGGTTCACCGGATGGAACGGCGGGGTGGTTGTCGTCGTTGGCATGAACCGAAGGGTCAGCGGTACGACATGTCGTCAAACCACATCGCCTGAGGCGTTGGAACTGGGCCAGAGAGAAGGTCCAATTCCGCTTCGATGCGATCGCCGTCAATCTGGATGTCATGGTTTATGACTTCCGAATTCCGGTTTGCGGCGAGGTTAAAAAGGAAAGAGGCGGAGTTTCTAGAGATGGGAAGAGGAAATGGCACGTGGCGGGTGGAGTACGTGGCGTGGACAGCACAGCGTCCACGTGTACTTGGAGTGGTAAGTTCTGGGTTATTCCATATTTTTTTAATTATTATTTTTGTGTCTTGTCGCGTGGTTGTAGATGTGCCTAGAACCTTCACCGATTCTGCTCCTATTTTTTCTTCCACTTTTCGCCCTTATTCACTCCCTCATTGGTATTCTTCATCTTTGTGCATCGAATTTACGTCCATTTCCACCGCAAGTAGATATGGTTCTCTTTTAGCTTTTTCGGTTGGGCTTCCCTCCAATTTCGACAGCCAGTAGATATTGTCTTCTTTGAACTTTTCCGGTTGGGTTTCCCTCCTTCGACCTCTTAACAGATCTTGTTCAATAGCTTTTCATGTTGGGCTTCTCTCTAGGCTTTAAAACATGAGCCCTGCTAGGAGAAGGTTTCCACGCCCTTTATAATGGTGGTTTGTTCTCCTACCCAACCAATGTGGGACATCGCAATCCATCACCTTCGGGGCCAGCATCGCTAACACTCTTTCCTTCCTCCAATTGATGTGGGACCGCCCCCAAATCTACCCCTTTGAGACCAGTGTCCTCGCTAGTACTCTTTCCTTCCTCCAATTGATGTGGGACCGTTCCCAAATCCACCTCTTTGGGGCCCAACGGCCCAACGTCCTTACTGACATACCGCCTTGTGTCTACCCCCTTAAGAGAACAGCGAGAAAGCTGACAGATCGTCAGGTGTCTGGCTCTGATACCATTTGTGACGACCCAGGCTCACCGTTAGCAGATATTTTCCTCTTTGACCAGACTCTGGCTCGAAATGGACATTAGAGATGGTTGAAGGTCGAAGCAGAGAGATCCGAGCGGTTTATGAGGAAGGCCATGAGTAGAAGATCAAACCAAAACCAACCAGCAAGTAGTTGAGTAGAATTATAGTCAAGAAAAAGAATAAGATATCTAAAATGTTTTAACTCTACAATTTATCTCAAATGTTTATTGATTTATTATTTTTTGGTTCTTAAGGATAAAGATAAAGATAATGATAAAGATAAGAAAATTGAGTAAATAAATTACATTGTAAAATCCGTTCGTCTGATGAAACTTGGCTGAGAATTGGGCATGGAGGAGGAGAAGCTTTCCTCTGTAGCCAAGAGATTCACCGCTTCACCAATTCAAAAACTCTCTCTTATTGCTCAGCAATGCAACGCCATCAACCTCGCCGAAGGATTTCCTGATTTTCCGGCACCGCTCACCCTAAAAGACGCCGCCATTTCCGCCATTAACTCCGATTTCAACCAGTACAGGTTCACTCTTCTACTCTTTACTTCTTGCTTTTGGATTGTTCTGTGACTTTTGGCGATAATGCTAATCGAATTTGTAATTTCAATATCTGGCGTCGGTATTATCATACCATGATTTCGTTATTGCTTAAAAGATTGTGATGCGAGTATGTAATGATGTCTGGAAATGCTTGGTGATGGTACCAGGAATTTGGATCCAGTAATTTTAACATCCAGTTTTCAATTTACATATGCTTATTGAGGAGTTCCTCCATCCCCTCCCATTTGAGATAATTCTGTCATTGTTTCTTCTAAAAAAAAGTATGTTTATGCAATTCATCTTCTTAAATATACTGAACATAGTGTTGAAAGAGAAGGCATGTGCAGGGAGTATGTGACGAACTCGCCAGGATAGCAAAGAAAACACATGGCTTAGATGTTAACCCTCTTACCGATATTGCTATTTGTTGTGGCCAAACTGAGGCATTTGCTGCTGCTGTATTTTCCGGTACATGTCTCCACGTTTGTATTTGGTATTGTTTTCCTGTTAGTTCATGTAATGTGTTTTATGATCTTAATATCTTCTGATTTGATAGTGATAAATCCTGGTGATGAAGTTATAATTTTCGATCCGTCGTTTGATACATATGCAAATGTTGTATCCATTGCTGGGGGTGTGCCAGTAAGTTACCGTGTTCCTCGTCTAAAATTGATTCCTCTGATTTCTAAAACTGATTTCCCAGCTGATTTTGAACTCATAATGAACAGGTATATGTAACACTTGACCCACCTCAGTGGACTCTGGACACAAATAAGCTTTTGAAGTCCTTTACGCATAGAACAAAAGCTTTAGTATTGAACAGGTAAGCAATTCACATGCGTGTCTAGATGATCAAGTTATAAATCATGACTTATTGAGTCAATGCACGGTCTTATTGGGATATCATTTCCTTTTCTTGTGTAAGATAAATGATGAATGGTCGATCTTGTCAATCCCGAACAACAATAAGATACTAAGCAAGAAACTTCTGTTTTGGTGATTTTTCTAAGATCATGATCAACAATTTGCGCTTGTTGTTTGCGCAGCCCTCACAATCCAACTGGAAAGGTTTTCTCGGAAGAGGAACTTGATACAATTGCGGGAGCGTGCTGCGCCAATGATTGCCTAGCCATAACAGATGAAGTATGATTAATCATGTTCATTGAATATCATATCACTCTGCCAGGGAATAACGTTACCCATCTTGAAGGACTTGTTTTTCCACTACGCGTTCGACAGGTTTACGAGTATATAACATTTGGCAATGCAAAGCATATATCTCTTGCCACATTTTCAGGAATGCACTCGAGGACGATCATTACATCTTCATTGTCTAAAACGTTTTCTGTTACAGGTTACATCTAGATCCATACCTAAACCTTTGCATTTAATGAATTTACAAGTGCTCATGTTGTTTCGCCTTACTGTTTCCTATAACTTAGGTTGGAGAGTTGGTTGGGCAATTGCTCCTGCTTATATTGCCTCTGCAATGAGGAACATTCATGTTAGAATTGCAGACTCTGCTCCAGCCCCTTTCCAGGAAGCTGCCTTGATTGCATTGCGAAGTCCTCCGGAATATTTTGAGTCACTAAGACGAGTACGATTCAATTGAACTGAATCTCACATTCCGTCCTCTGTTATCTATGTTCCATTCATGGAATATGTTGTTTGACGTGCAGGACTACGAGGCAAAAAGAGACTTCATCGTTAAGTTGCTCGTCGATATTGGTTTTCAAGTCCAGTTTGAGCCTCAAGGCTCCTTTTTTCTATTTGCAGAACTCCCCAAAAGTTGCACACTTACTGATGTACATATCTCTACTTAATCTTAAGCTTGGTTGGCCATTGTATTTAAGTGAAATGACATTCTTTTTCATTGATTACTTTCAGGTTGATTGTGTTGAGGAACTGATAAAACGAGCCGGAGTGGTGGCGGTGCCAGGATGCGGATTTTTTCAAACGAATTCGTCGAAAGACAAGCGCGTCGAGGAAGATCGTAGCTACCAAAAGAGATATATCAGGTTTGCTTTCTGCAAAAGTGATGCCACTTTGACATCTGCTGCACAAAAACTCAATGAGACAAATTTTGAGTTTCTTAAGATGCACTGATACTAGTGAGCAAGGAGATGGTTACTATGAAATAAAGAAGTTTGAGATAAGTTATTACAACTGATACTCTAAATTACATGTCAATTTGTATAACTTTTAGTACTGTTCGAACTTTTTTGGGCAAATATTTGTCATTGAGATAAAGCTAAAGAGATATGGATGGAGCACAGGAAGTAGGATAAGTAGAGCCCAAGAGCATCTGAATATGAACGGCTTGACATGGTAGACTCTCTCATATGGCCCATGAGCATCTGAATATAAACAGCTTGACATGGTAGACTCTCATATGAACAGCTTGCAGAAGCAAGTTTGTGTTAGAGTTCATGCTCGTGGCTGCATGTTCATGTCAATGCTAACTTCTTTATTTGATTTCTGTATTACTATAGTATTTTCTGTTTGTATGATTATTCGGCGAAATCATATCTAGGCTTATCAAACTTGAATCGCCCTAAAATGTACCAGTCATTAACTCCACCTAAATTTTGTATGATCGCATGGCGAAATCATGTTTAGGCTTGTCATACTTGAATTGTCTCAAAATGTACTAGAACGGTATTTAAGTTTAAAAAATATTTTAAATAAATATTGTAGTCCAAAAATATTTCTTTTATAGTTAAAAAAAATATATATATATATATATAAATCATCGTCTAATAGAATGCAGGCTTAAATAGTTAAAGATCCAATGAAAAGAATAAGAAACTATGACAAATAGAATCATTTTAGTTTGATTTGATTGGGTTCGACTCCATCCATTAATTAGAATTAAAATATTATTGGAATACAACTAAAAAAAACAATGAAATGAAGTTGAAAGTGACAAATGGGGTATCCCTTGCATGGTTGACCTTAACATTTAGAAAGCAAATCTTATTTGTGGCCAACTTAGGGGCATATGCCCTTTGCTTAATTAAATTAATCACTTCCATCCTTTTCTGCCCATAATTGTCTCTTCCAAAAGATCCCCTAGCTTTGAAATTCTTGCCCTTCTTTTCTTAAATCATAATGTTTTTTAATTATTTTTCTAAAATGTCGGGTTTTTTGGTTTTTAAAATTCAGGAAGCAACAATCATGATAGGCCCCTATCGTCGATACCATCAGGGTCGATGTTTGACACAGACAAAAGTGTGTTTTAGGTGCGTCTAGGAGAGTCACATGACAAATCAGGGGGTCCTTGGCAGAGATGGGTAACCAACCTCCTAATTCGAGCGGTTCCGGATTCATCAATAGAGAAAAGCATATGCAACTGCTACCCAACTTGTATTATGGGTTTCGTTGTTTTATTATCGATGTTCAATTTCTCTTACAACGTTATGACCGCTACCGTGTAAAAAACGAGATGGGTCGAGATGGGTGGGGTGTCCCCCACAAGTGGTATCATTGGTTAGTGAAAGGGAAGGCTATAGAAAAAAAGTGAAGGCATCCACCTATACACACTTTGTTAGATTGTCGTTTGTAAGGAGAGGCAGACAAATCTTTAGTACCAAGATTGTGTATCTCCACATAACTTGTCGCAAAATCATAGGCTTTTCTTTCCTCACGATTCCCAAAAAAAATGAAAAAAAAAAACAAGAGACTTGGAACGTTATGGAGTGGTGATATGGAAAAAAATTGGGATAGTAACACCATCGTATAGTGTGAGGTCCCATATCAGTTGAAGAAAGGAACAAAATATTCCTTATAAGGGTGTTGAAACCTCTTCTACCCGACATATTTTAAAATCGTGAGATTGACGTAATAGATCAAAGTAGACAATATCTACTAGTGGCGAGCTTGAGCTGTTACATACCGTTCTACGAGACATATTCTCTAAAACCAAAAAAGAACAAGTTATTCAAGCAAAACCACTCGTTAGACCTAAGTAGACTTCTAGACCAAGTCGAAATATTCTTACATCTGTATTAACACTTTAAGGTATCTAAAACAAGAGCGGATGATGCAAAATAACATACGAGACAAACGAACGAACGACACGGGTTTCAAAAGAAAGTGAAATACATCAAAATAGTAATAGTTGAAAGTGGAGAAAATAAAGAAGAGGGGCCTGTTGGGTGTACTTGAATTTGATCACAATCTCTCATTCCATCCATCCATCAATCTATCAAACCTTTTTTTCCTTTTGGGTTTAGTGGGCCTAGTGATAATGGGCCAGGCCCACCACAGCCCACTCAAATAATTTTAGTCCAATCAGCGCAAGGTAATGATGGATTTGACGCCATCATCACAGTGCAGGGGACCAACAGTTCGTGCAATAATTTTGTAAGGGTTACACTATTTTTTTTTTTTTTTTTTTTGCTTAATTTTCAAGTTTTATAAAGTATTGCTCGTATAGTAATCGTTCGAGTGGGGTGACTATTACGAAAGTGAAATGACACGACAATTATAACTACAAGTGTAAGAAAAAGTTGGTACAAACATCGCTAAATCGACTTGATTCAGCAAACATAGCTAAAAGACAGATTGCACGTCACCAACACTTTAAGTACTCTTAAGATAAACACGAACACTTTCATTTGTCAGTAATCTCTAATATATATATATTTTTTCGTTCGGGTAAGTGTTATAGTTAAAATCCTTTTTCAGCAACGCTGTATTTAGTATCTGATAGTCGCTCCACTTAATATCTATATGCGACACAATCAATTTAAAGAGGTTTATACGGGTTGAATTGAAAGTTTTTTTTTACTGATTCAAAACTTCAGGTTAATGACCCAAATGACCCGAGTAGGTTCATAACCCAACTCTCTGTTTTTGGGTTAGGTCGCTCGTTAAGTTGTTTATTTTTTAATATTTTAAAAAAGCCTTATTTATTCATAACACGTGTTACATTAATAATTAAAATCATAACACATAACAACATCTAGGTTTGCGAGGATTATGCTATGAACCCTATTTTTGGATTGGTCGGGTTGACGACAAAAATTTTAATCCAAAACAAAACTGAACCAATTTTATTTTTCATTTTTTATCTCCGTTTTTAAGAAAAAAGAAAAAACCAAACATGGCCGACATCTCGACTCAATCATCCAATTACAGAACGACACGTATTGTCCCATGCACTTGTTCTATATCTTACCTAATCCTATCCTTAATCTAATCAAAATCTAACCATATTAATCTAATCATATTTCATTTCATTAGGATTACGTGATAATTATTTTAGTAAATAATTTCTATAAATGGTTGAAATTCCAAAAAATAATAAGAGTCGATCCGATCCGTCCTTCTTTTATGACCTCAAGATTTGATGGACACATATCTTAAAGATACCCTTCATTTAGATCTTTGTCGATCTTCTCTTTGATACGAACATTGTTGCAAAATTCAACTCTTCTTCCCCTATGAATTTTCTTCTTAAAATTAAATATTATATTATTTAAATATCGACCGTTAAATGTTATCTGACTGTATTCATTAATTTTCACGAAAAATGTGATCAAAACCCAAGTTGGTTCAAATTAATAAATTAAATAAAAATATTAATTATAGAGTGGAGGTTAGAAGAGAAGAGCATGCAAAGATTCTTATACAATTTATAGTCCACAAAACGTCTCATCAACTATGAAACAATCGTATCATAAAAATGAGATTTTGATTCATCGAGGAACAATATATGGTGGGGTAGGACTGGTACAAAGGGTACTAGAGTTAGGGCATCGAGAAGTGTGCCAACGAAGACGTTGGGCCCTCAAAGGGGTGGATTGTGAGACTCTACGTCAATTAGAGATGGGAATGAAGCATTGATTATAAGAGTGTGGTAACCTCTCCTTAACACACACGCTTTACAACCGTGAGCCTGATGATGATACGTATCGAGCAATGTGTCAGCGCGGACGCTGGGCCCTCAAGGGGGTGGATTGTGAAACCCCACATCGATTAGAGATGAGAATGAAGCATTCATTATAAAAGTGTGGAAACCTCTCCTTAACACACACGTTTTACAACCATGAGGCTGATGACGATACGTACCGAGCAGTGTGCCAACGAGAACACTAGGCCCTCAAGGGGGTGGATTGTAAGACCCCACATCGATTAGAGATGAGAATGAAGCATTCATTATAAGAGTGTGGAAACCTCTCCTTGACATATACATTTTACAACCGTGAGGCTAATGACGATACGTAACGAGCTACCATGCAAGCACAATAATGTGTATCATATGAATTTTATCTCAAACGGACACGAATCTCTCTTAAAAAGAGATTTCTCCATTAAATAAATGGGACTTGAGTCGAGAATTATATTTGAAAAAAAAAAAAAAACCCCTATAAATGTAACCTACATGAGCGAGACGAAGAAGGGAACACACCAAAACAATATTGCTCCGTCCAATAAAATGTCCATTCTCAAGCTATTCGGGTTCCCACTCGTCGAGCACGACGGCGTTCAACCGGAAACCCCCGAAGGGTGTGGCGGCGATATCAACTCCGACGACGACAGAAAGTTCCGCTGTCAATTCTGCCGCCGAGTATTTGCCAACTCGCAGGCCCTCGGCGGCCACCAGAATGCCCACAAGAGAGAGCGCCAAAGGGCCAAACGCGCCCTTTATTTCCACGCACTCCGACCGCCGCCGCTTTACACTGGCAGTAGTGGTGGTTCTAGAATTCTGCCACCGAGCCGCAACGGGTACTTTTCGGCCGCGTACGGCGGCGTATCGGCGTCATCACGGCGGCGGATGTTCGGAAAAATGGAATCTTTAGGGTGTAAATTGGATGGTGAAAAGGGATTACCAAATCATGTGGGTGCTGTTGATCTTCATCTTAAATTAACTTTATGACCATTAATCACAATTTAATGGGAATTAGCTTATTTAATTACACCAATTTAATTCCAAAATCCATTATTTTATTTTTTTCTTTCATAAATTATGAGGAATTTTTAATTAATTCTTCTAAATAAATAACAAAAATATTAAATAATCGAAGATCCATGCACACTCCATCTCTCATGCAAACCCATTTTGTTGACGTCTCATTTGATCGTAGAATTGCGCTATGAACTCATCCGCCTTTGCATCGATCATTTCGTCGCCTCCGTCGATGGTATTTTCATCATTGTCGCTTTCGCTATCGTTGTCGAGTTCTTGAAGATTAGGTTCAGAGGCATGTTGTCTTGTGCAAAAAGAAGACGACATCGATGTACAAGAAAACAATGTCGACGATGAAAACGACGAGGAGGGCGATGATGACAATGGTATTGGTGACTCCTCGTAAACTTCCTTCGGTTTTGGAGCCAACGATGTGTGGACTATGGTTGGAGGCGATTCGTTGTCTTGGATGTGGAGAGGGCGAATGGAGGCCAATAGCCGCTGCCACAAGCCTTTATCGGAACCCATGTCGACCGACGCCTTTGATTTCTTGGATCGACGATGGAGCATGAAGAGGGAAAGCTTGAAAATTTGCATGGCTCGATTACTTTTCTTCTTGGTCTGGCCGGAGTTGGAGATGGGTTGGGATTTTAGGTCCATATAAGGTCTGGGAACGAGCGAGGAAGCGAGAAGGTGGTCGGAGGGCGCTCCCGGACGGAAGGGAAAGAAGAAGTTAACTTAGAGGAGGAGGAGGAGGGGAAATGGTTAGTTTTATAAAGAAAGGTGGCAGGCGGCCATGGCCATTTATGTTTAAATTTGGAAAGGCTTATATTTAGGGGATGCAAGGTTGATGGAGGGTAGGTCTTTGTGCCCTTATTATTTGGGCTAAATTCAACCAAAACTTAGGCTTCTTTTCCATTAAAGTATGTATAGATAAGCAATGCTCACAAGTTTTGTCATTCCCAAAACATGAATTGCTTGCAATTATTGCTATACGACGTTCTCATAACCTTACGTACACTAGATTAAGTCATTTGGCTCGACCTTGCCTTTACTCGGGACCAAGGTCTCTCAATGCAACATCGCATATGGACATCCTGAACACTCATCCATCCAGGTTCTATCAAGACATTGAGCCTCCCATGCCCATGTCATGTCATTTACAGATAATGGGAGCATATATCAACCTCCGACACATGGGTTGGGGTGCAATACCGACACACCCATGTCGCTTGGTACTGTTCTTGAAAACCCCATTTCAAATGAAGTCGCCTGAGACACTCGTCTCGGCACGCTCGACCGCACTGTGACACATGCATGTGCCACAGGGTAGCTCGCTTAGGCCACAAGGGGAGGCTGAGTGGAAGAGAAGGAAAAGGTAAGAGTACAACTACCTTTTCTTAGCTAAACTCGAACACTAGGTGAAAAGGTGTGGGACGTTTTTTTTAGAGCATATTTTTCATTTCAATCAAATGGGTTTCCTTTAATTTTCGGAAATATGAGATTCAACACGAGAAATGGTGGAATTTTCCAGTAATATAAAGATTTTTGTGATATCTCATGCTCAAAACTCTTTATACACAAATTCTAGACGTTAAACGATAAAAAAGATGATGAGCTTCTATAGACGATTCATTAGAAGTAAGCTCGAGCTTTAAATCGTGATTAAATAGTAATATAATTCACCTAAGTTATTGTATGAATAGAGAATGGAAGTGGGTGTGGTGTTAGGCTAAGGTGATGGATGGGTTAACCTAAAAAGTTAGTGTTGTGGCATTTCATGATGGTATTATGGTTGGTTTTGTCCTCAAAATAAGAACGAAAGCTGGATTTTGAAGTGTTTTCTATTGCTTCTTTTGAATCTTTCAAACCCATTTGCAGTTTGGTCATAAGTGTATGACAGCCTTAGACATGGCCCATTATCAAAATTTGCATAATCCGACCCTACCGGCAACCAATATTGTTCGTTTCAGCTCATTACATATCATTGTCAGTCTTATGATTTTAAAACGCATCTACTAAGAAGAGGTATCCACACTCTTATAAGAAATGGTTCATTCCCCTCTCGAGACCAATATGCGATCTCACAATCCACCCCCATATGGACCCAACATTCTCATTGGTACAACACCCAGTGTCTGACTTTGATACCATATGTAACAGCTCAAACCCATCACTAATAGATCAATCGATCTCACAATTCACCCTCTGAAAGACCCAGCATTCTCGATGACACATCACCCAATACCTAATTCTGATACCATATATAATAGTTTAAACCCTCTGTTAATAGATCAGTCTCGCATTTTTAAAGCGCATCTACTAGAAAAAAATTTCAACACCTTATAAAAATGATTTGTTCTACTCTACAATGAATTGAAATCTGTGAGCTTGAAATTATTTGTAATTCAGCAGGAATTTGAATTATATTTATATTTATTAAATATAGTCTCAAATTTTCAATAAATTTTCACTTAACTAAAAAAAGAAACAAAACTACAAAATTAATTTCTGTTTGGTAAGTTCTAGATAAGCTTCTTGCTAGTTTCTTAGAAATTTCTATACTTTTTAGTTCACATTCTAATTTTATCTTTTAAATATTTTTTAATATTAGTAGACCCATATCAATTTAAAAAAATATTGACCTAGTAGACAACCGAATATTCACGACTGTAATATCTACAATTTTTTCGATAAAAAAATATTTTGGTATAATATATTTTTTGGTTCACATTGTAATTTATAGTCACACGTAAATATTAAAAATAAATTTTTGTTGTGGTATAATATATTTACAATAAATTAGAAGTTTTTTTTTTTAAGTTTATGAGCTAAAATATACATTTTTTTTATAAATTAAAATAGATATTTTAAAAGAAATAAAAGACAAAAAAAAATAATAATTTTATGAAATTTAGAATAATTAATAATAAGAGAGACAAAAATTATGGATCTGAGTGGCAGCCAAGTCGCGTAATGAACAACAAATCGGCTGTTTTCTTTGGTTTGACCTTATTTGGTCAACTCTTCAATTTTTTAATTTTTTTTAGAAAAACCAAATATTTTCCGCTTAAAATGGGTAATCATTGGAAATTGAGAAATTTATTTAAAATTAAAAAAAAAATACAGAGATTTTGAATCACAATAATTGAGAGTGAGAAGAGCTTCCAGAACACGGTTTTGATGCTTAATTAATTATATAAATAATTTTGAAATTAACCTTTTAAAAAAAAAATCAAAATTAAAGAATAATAGTGATTTTTAAAAAAATTTATTTAATAATTCAAAAAATATTTTAAGAATTGTGAAAGTACTTAATTGGTCATTCTATCACGAGAATCGTGCTCCATCCGGAGTATTCTCAGTTCAATTATATATCTTTTATTTACTCGAGTGTCATATAAAATGTTAACGAGCGTAGAGTGTATATATATATATATATATATATATATATATATATATATATATATATATATATTNATTATTAAAAAAAAAAAAAAAAAAAAACATGGCTATAGGTTCAAACGGCTCTATTTCAATTTGAATTGGATTTAACACAAAACACAGCTGGAGGCACCAGTTGGCTGTCTAATCATACACTATTTCTTTTCAAATTTTTTATATTTATTAAATATCTAATTAATTTTTATTATTCATTCATTTTTTTAATTATTAAATTATAGGTTTAATTCTCAATTTTAAATTTGTGATTGGCAGGTTTTATTTAATAAAAATTAACTCATCTATTAAACATAAAAATACATTTTTATTCCATAAAATTCAAAATATTAATTTTTTAAATCTAATAAATCTATAATTTTTTTAATAGATAAAAAACTAAAAAGTAAATTTTGGTGGTAATTACTTCTAATTTAAGGGTGAAAATACATACTTTTACTAAATGATTTTCTTTTTTTTCAAGATTAATTTTAGCATTCTTCAAGAAAGAAGGGGGAAAATCAAATAAACAAAACTTACCTTCCAAGGTAATTTTTGGTGTTTTTTTTTTTTTAATAACCATTTTTATTGTTTAGTAATATTGATTATTTACAACAATTTAATATTAATTTATAATTTTCTTTTTAATTCAGCTTTTATTTTTTTTAAAAAAAATTGATCACAATAATTTTAAAAGTTATTAATAAACTTAAACTAGGTTTAAAAATCCCAATTAACTTCTTAAATCAGAAACTTACAAATTAAATTAATATATAGATTTGTTGAATTGATTGTCTATATACAAGTTATATAAACTCCCATACAAATTCATATTTTTCAAACATTTCATAAACTAAAATAATATTTAATTGGTTGATGATTTTATTTAATTCAATTTACAATGTTTATATCCGTAGACAAAGGAGAATGCATTAGTGATTTGTGTTCAAAACAAAAAAAATACGTTAAATTACATTAAATTTAATGTTTGTGTCTATCGGGTCCTTGTATTTTCAATAGTTACAAATTTAGTTTTTAAATTTTTTTAAATTCGATCGTCTACTCTGTTAGATGAACACGACTTTACTTTAGAGTTCTCCAAAATGCCTCATACTAATGGAGATAGTATTTCTAGATTATAAACACGGGTATCACAACAATTTAGGCTAAACTTGTAATCAAAGAAAAAACACGGATAAAAATTAAGAGACTAAACTTGTAATGGAAGAAAAAACACGGGTAAATTAGCAATTTAGGCTAAAATATGAATAATAAAATATATATATATATATATATATATATATATATATATATATATATATATATATAATAATATGTATCCAGGTTGGTTTATAGCGCGTACAGGCGTGTTCCCCCACCAGACGCCACCGCCCACAAAACCCCGTTCGACGCGTACAAAATTCCATGCTTCATATAAATGAATCAATTCGCCTTCTTTTTCCACCAAACACAAATCTAAAACTCCTCCAACTAAAAATCGATCAAAACCTGAAACCTCTCTCGTTTTTGTTCTGTTCTTCTTCTTCTTCTTCTTCAAAATGCCAAGGAAAAACAGCAATGTGGGTCGTAGAGCATGGAACTTTCTTCGTCTAGCAATCATATGGGCTAGAAAAGGTGGCGTTTTCAAGCGGAGGTTTCTCATGGATCACCTCCGCCTTGTCCCCAAGTTCATCAAGACGCTCGGCCACTCAACGCCCCGTGGCCACCTACATTATGGTGATCATGAGCTTTCCTTCGACGAAACGCCTGTTTTTCACATAAAGATGCATCGTCCTACCTCCATGCGATTCCACTTACCCTGCATTACTCCAGAGACGGTTGATTTTGAATACGAGTTTGAAGACGACTGTGACAGTGACGATGATGGTAGTGAAGTTCATAGCCAGGATAGCGAGCGGAGGAGTTCGGGATATGAGGGTGGGGAGGAACAAGAGGATGAAGAAGAAGTGGAAGAAAATGGGATTGATTTGAGAGCTGAGAAGTTCATAGCTAAGTTCTATGAGCAAATGAAAATGCAAAGACAGATTTCATTTTCGCAATACGATAAAAATCATTGAAACGAGAGTTTTGCATATGAATTTTGAAAGTTGTTTTTATAAATATGCATACAATAAGATTCATTCGTTACAGTTCTTGGGTGTTCTTTTTTTTTTTTCTGTTTCTTAAAATGAGGTATTGCCATTCCTTGAATAAAAAGAGGAAATTTAAGTCTACAATTCAAGGCATAACAAAAATGTATACAGATCAAACTCTAAAACCAATTTTATAAACAAAAAATTAGCCTACCATGAAAATTAAACGAACGCTTAAGCTAAACAAAGTTCAACGACCGAAACTGTACTTGAAAAGGCAAAAAGAATAGCCAAAAAATGGCTTCTGGCATTCCCCAAGTATCGCCAATTCAAAGAATGAAATCGATCAAGACGAGGACGATACAAAAAGGATTAAAACTAAACGGAGTTCTACTTGATAAATAGTATAAATACAATCCTTTTTCAGTTTTCCACATGTTTGTCTC